GTCGAGACCTCGTGTCAGCCTGGCGCTAAGTGTCCGTCCATGTCAGTCGAGTAGATAAGCGAACTGGACGCAACTTCCGGTCACGGTGGTTGTCCATGCTCACTGTTGTCAGTCTGGCCCGTTGTTGTCAGTCTGGTCTGCTGTTGTCAGTCTGCCACCACCCCTGGCGTCATACCGTCGCAAAAGCCCAGAACGTTGGACATGGTCAAGCTTACCTCGCCAGTTGATCCCCTCCGTGTCCCGTGTGCCAGATGTCGGATCGCCACACTGAACAAGCGAACATGAGCTTATCCCCTCTATGCGGCGAACAGAACAGCGTCCACGTCTAGAAGCCCGCACCAAGCTTGTTCTGCCCTCTAGAGTTCCGGCCAAGCTGCACACCTGACCGAACGTACCTCGAAGTTGGATGAAGTTCGGTAAGGCAGTTCTCGAAGACCCCACTGTGCGATGGAGATCTACTCTGCGGCAAGAGTGACCTCGGTGGGTCGGTGTGCCGTGTGCCTGCAGATCCGCCAGATCCGCACCGACCGATCATCCGGACAAACTCAAGTTGACTGTATGTCGATCCTCGACGCCTCCTCGGTCCCTCGGAGGTTTGACAGCTCGGTGGTGGGTTTCCTGACCAAGATCTCCTGAAGCTCATCCGGTGACTGCCGGTCTGAGTCCTGAAGAATCTCCGGTGTCTGCTACGTACGGTGTGTGCGACGCGAGTGACTTCCCGAGTCTCGGAATGGAACTTGCGGTGAGTCTCCCGCCCTCGACGTTGACGTTGACGTCGGCGGCGTGCGCGAGTGCTAAAGTTTTGTCAGGGTGACTCCGACAGACTGGAGTTGAAGACCGATTCCGAAGCCTGCCCTCCTGAGGGTCTCGAGCTCAGGGCCTCGGTGTCGGTTTGCCTAATACTCCATACCTGATACGCGGCGCGCCGTGTCGCCGGTGACCGACTGAGCAGTAAGTGCTGAGGCCGACTGTCCGAGATATCGGCCCAAGTTTTTGCCATGCTTGTTGTCTTTTGATGCAGCTGTGCAGCCAGGCTTCATGTCGTGACCGCGGTGCCGCCCTGGTCTGGGCTCCGCACATGGCCCACTGTCAGGCTCAGACGGTGGTCTGGAGTTGGCATGTCAGGCAGCTTGCTCCAGAAGCTACTAGCTCAGCGAGGTTGCTCGAGATGAGCGCGGAAAACCGTGCAGATCTCTGCGAGAGCGGTAGAAGCGCAAAATGATAGATCCCCGCATATCCGCGCCCGATTCGGATTGCCCGCGCTGTCCGCGCTGCCCGCGCAGCAACACGCACGGAGTGTCGACCGAGGTACGTATCTGATCTCCCTCGGTGAGAGGCTCGGTGTTGGGGTGGAGTGGTGGGGCCATGTCCGCTGATAACCTCGCTCATGCCTCGCTGAGGGTCATTGTCTCGCTGATAACCTCGCTGGAGCTTCGTTCATGGAAGTGTTCACCGAGCTTGGAGGCTCAGCGGGCGCCGTTCCATCCGCGCGCGGATCGGAGTGTTCGTTTGGATGTACCGGTGTACTCAGACTCGGTCGTTCACTTGTATGCTTGGCGCAGCGCAGAGTGTTCTTGAGAGTGTCATGCTCGTTGTTGCGACCGAGGTTATGCAGGGAAATGGACAGGGAAAAAACGATCTTGTCTACAATCGCCAGTAGCGCGTATCGGAAGTAGTTCGTGAAGAATCAAGTCAGAGATGGCCGGTGTGACGTTGAGAGTCGAGTCCGCAAGTGGTAGTCAGTCGTGCGTGTAGATGCCATGAGTGGAAGGTAAACACCATCCGGAGCTTTCGACGCTCCACCGAGAGATCGAAAGGACGTCTCCGATTTGCAGGGTGTCGTTTCGAGTATCGTTTCGAGCAGCAAAGTTACTCGCGTCTTCTTTCATTTTTCTCACTTTCATCAGGGCTTGCTGCTTACTGAGCCATGGACCATGCGTGTCAGACGGACTGTGCAGCGCGTACCACTTCACTGGAAGGAGGTGTGACTTCATTGTCAGCCAGAGGAAAGGAAGCCAGAACGCCTAGTGCCAAGAATGTTTTGCGTGAGAGCGTGTGGTGCCGTAAAGTTCAATGAAATGCGCGTGGTGGTCGGGTAGTGGGTTCAGAATGCGGCGGGCAATGGCCGCAGCGGGCAGCTTGATGATTCGTCCACGCAACGCGAAGGACCCTTCACACCCTCACGCTGCCTGTCAGAGATAGCATCATGAGATCATCAAACGATAGCGACGCCAATATGGTGACCTGCTGCTGCGGGCCTGGATTTGTGCACTGCCTTGCTCGATAGACAAGATCTTGAAAGCCTGGAACTAGGAGGTACTGCCCGGTCCGGGGAGAGGACCTGCCAAGAGAGGAAAACAAGGACAGTTTTCGGTGTTCGGACGGGGCGTCGCTTCGGATTCGGAAGTGTGCTTCGGGCGTGAGTCGTGGCAGCGTGGCAGCGCTGCAGCGTGGGATGTGGGGACGTGATGGTTCTTGTGCTCGAGCTTGACCGAAGCTTTGCCCTGCGTTGCCCTGCACCCATGCAGGACATTGTGAGTGCCATGACGTCTCGTGTCTCGGCACTCTGTTTGATTGCTTGCCGTCTTTACGCCCGTTGCTCTGAAACGATATTAGCCTTCTTCGCTTCCGCGCGAGGCAGCTGGCGTGCTCGTAGGAGCAATGTGCTTTCTTCACACTTTGTTGTTCCTCACGTCCCTCGCAAAAGGCTCGCAAGGGTTACAGTTTTCTCCGGCTCCACACAATTCACAGTGAGGGCAAACAACAGGGTCGCACTCGCCGGTATACAGGTACGCCGCAGCGTTCAATCAGCAATGAGCTGAACGTGTCAGCTGAGCCTGGCCATTATGGGATCCAGATGTTAGGTGGACCTCCTCCGCCTCGGCCATAGAGCGAGGGCAGTTGGCGGTAACTGGCAAATCTGCCATGATTTCCATGATTGTCGGCAAATTCAGCGGTCAAAGCAGATTGGTCTACTCCGTCTCGATGGGGAGGGCTGGGGTCCTCCGTTCAAGGACCGGGGACTTGGCTGCATGTTAGTCGACGTGGGGCTCGAGAAGCGCGAGAAGAGAAGACTGCAAGTGATGTTTGATGTTTTGATCGATGACGAGGACGATGCGGTAGATCCGTCCACTCGCTTCGCTAACGGTTTCACCGTCTATCTCGCCTCATCCACGCGGCCAGTGCTTGGCAGCATCATCGGGGCGTTCTCTCAATGTTCGAGGCTCTGCATGGCTCTGGCTCTGGACAGTATCGCCGGACCGAAACAGCTACCTAGATCTGCAGCGCCTGGCCGAAAGGCCCGAACGCCGTCAGCGCCAGAATGTCGAGGGAGGATTGTGAGCCGCCGACGTGGTTGAATGATGGGCGCCGGGCGCCACTGAGGCTGGGCATGCTGATCCAACAGCGATCCTTTGGCTGGAACGTGATGAACCGAAGAGCCAGGGGGGAAGGCTAGACAGGTGACTCGAGGTGACTAAGGCACAATAGAACCGGTCACGGAGCGAACCATGCACACTAGGGCAGGCAAGGGCTGGGGCGCTCGGGGCGACTCTATGACGTCAATACGTCAAGGCTCTGCTTGCTGCAAGATCTGCTTCGCTCGCTGATACTCCTGTCCTGCCCGCCGTCCGTTGCCCGGCGGCCCCCGCGCACCGGTATTACCAAGACAAACTGTTCTACGGAGGCGATCGAGTGCGAAAGTGCGAAGTGTTGTCACTGCTTAGACCGATCGAAGATTGGCATGGCGTAGCATACATGGGTAACTCTGCACAGGTGTTGGCGTCAGGCTGGGTGCCGGTTGGCGGGTTGGACTGGTACCAGTGCATCTATGACGACATATATTGCCGAGGGGATCGAACGGGCGCGCTGTTTTAAGGAAGTCAGGGATTCAGGTCCGAGCGAGCGAGGGAAGGGCAAGGCAAGGACGTCACTGATGGAAGCAAGCTTTGGCTCCGATAGGCGTGGCGCCAGTGATAGGCCAGCCTTATTCCCGCTTCCCCGCGCACCCCGCGCGTCCGAAGCCACCTTTCCATTGTCCGCGTGCACGGCTGTTGCCGCTGAGCCTAGTCCAGCCTGCCATCAGGCCCGCAAACGTTCGGGTCCCAAAGGGGTCCCGGAGATGTGATGAGCATGGTGATCGTTACCCCTGGCACAGGGGGGCGAGAAAGGAAGAACAATGGAAGCGGCACTAAGATGGCTTTTCCGGCCGGGCGATCCATCTTTCATCACCCTGCACGCTGTACACTCACTCACTCCTTTGTTGCTCCGCCCCTCGCATTTGCCGCCGCCGCCGCCGTCGACCGCGATCGTTTATCGCTGTTGGGTGAGTGTGTGCGTACTACTCCTGTGCAACGCTTTGCCCGTTGCCGTCCCTCAGCCGTGGTCCCTGTCGCTCCCCTGGGTCTCACTCAATCCCTCACGTCCGCCTCCCGCCGGGGCTGATTAGCAGGTGCGCCAGTGCGTTGGCAGAGAATCCAAGAGGGCGCACTAACAAGATCCAGAGCAGCCTCTCAGGATCCGGTCGCCGCCGAAGCAGCAGGGCCATTTAGCCAGGTTCCCTCCTTCCCTGTCTCGCCGATGCTCGAACTCCATCAACTCCCCGACTCAGATATCAGTCCCTCCTACATCGCGTCTTCTCGGTACACACACACACACTCTACACTTCTTCCTCATCATAAGCCACGACTTGCCCAGCCTACTTATCTTGTCAATCTGCCCCTCGCCATCTTCCACTCTCCCATCGCCTCTCGCCCTACCACCACTCGCTCTCAACGCACCCATCGGGCGACCAAACACTTCTTGACACTCTCACTCCCAACCCCTCGTCGCACTTGAACATTACTCAGCTCAACTTCAAGTGACCAACACCCCGCTTCCCCTCGTCACCAACAAGAGCTACGGTGTGTGTCGTTCAGCACACGATATCTGCCAAACTGTTGTCCTCTTGTACGTGTCAAACCGCACTCTACCGTCCACACGGACCTAGAACTGCCCCGACCATGTTGTCCACCCGACCGAGCCGTCGCTCACACGCCGCAGCGCTTCCCTCCCAGGCCTTAGGGCAACACAACATCTTCACCCTTCCCCCGTCTCCTCGCCCAGGACGACGGACCGTCAGGAGGAAGGGCACCGTCTCGCCACCGTTGACGGGCAACGACCGCCGACGGTCATCAGTCAGCTCGGGCACGCCGTCCATCTGCTCCACCTACCCTTCCCCACCCAACATCATGCTCAACTCTCCCATCACCGCCAACATCAAGACGCAGGCCGACCTGACGAATCACTACCGTGCCTACCTGCGCGCCTTGAACACTCGCACCTTTGACCTCGTCGGGCGCTATGTCGCCAAGCGTGCGCGCCACAACGGCTACACGCTGTCGCACACCGAGTACTGCGCGTTGGTCCCGCAAGCGCTACCTACACGCCCGAGGACATTGTCGCCGACATCCAGGGCCGCACCATCGCCGCGCGCCTCTCGGTCGAGTACCCCGTCAACGCCCCGATCAGCTCGACGTTAGCGAACAGCTACGGGCACCAGCAGACTGGCTCGCTGTCGTCCACAGCTGGCGAGAGCCTGTGCGACAACTGCTCGGCCTCGAACCCGCCCACGCCCCCTTCGACCGGCACTGGTGGCCGCTCCCCGCGCGTGTGCCAGGTCGACGAGATGGTCTTCTACCGCTTTGACGAGGACTGGCGCATCGTCGAAGTCAACTCGATGGTGCAGCCGCGCCGCGAGCGCGACCCGGCCAAGTCGCAGTCGGGCCACGAGCGAGGCTCCTCCAGGGGCTTGACCCATGCGCGCAGTCGTTCGCCTTAGGGAGGCTTCTGGCAGCCTTAGCATGAGTTAGCTCACCGTCACCTCGAGTGCACACTCGGTGATTAACTCCCTCCCATCTTGTAACATCAGTTACACATGTGACGGCGCCGCGATGTGCTGCGCCGGTATACCACCACGGACCATGGACCCTCCCTCATAACTTCCACCCTCAACACTTGTCACATAGAACTCATTCATCATCATCATTATTGTCTCCGTATCGCATCGTCTCTTCAGCATCGCCCTTGGGCAAAACATAGACACACATGTTCTCTGTATGTATAAAGCTACCTGTGTAACACTTTAGCGTCGCCACCGTCGGTGCAGCGGCCCGCGGCCCGTGGTCCGCGCTCCGCACTCCGGTGGCGCCGAGCCTAGCACGAGCAGGACAGCACGCGGTCCACGGAACGAGGCGTTCGTAGTCTTCTGGGGTCCGAATAACGCGTGCTAGTGCAGGATTCTCGGCGAATGAGGCTTGTCTCGTGAGGCGTTGGACCGCCGAGACAGCCCCACATCTAATACCTGACCAGAGTGTCCAGCTGACATATCGACGACAGCGGAAACCAAACCGCTGGCACTCAATGCATACATTATCCCGCTGGGCAAACACGAACGGAGGGCATCGTAACGATCCACTTCGGTGCATCGGTGTACCGGTGTGTAGAGCAAGAGCGCCGATTCCGAATCTCCGGACCACCCTTCGCGCCGTTCGGCTAACGCGTTAATATGGTCCAGCTGACCGTGTCTGACGAGAACAGGAAGTCTGGCCCCATCGGTCCGACTGCGATCTATTAGAAGCACGCGGTGCTCAGATTGAAAGCACGCGGGAATGGGCTGCGGGGTTGAGGGAAGGCGGGAGGACGGCGTGAGCAAGCGTGCGGGAGAAGAGGGAGGGAGGATGGTTAGCCGCGGCTGTCGGAGTAGGAAACACGATTGCCACCAAGGAGAAGAAGGATAGTCGGGCTCGGCGCATTCTGCGGTGCCGAGCGAGCTTCAGCGTGGGCCAAGCATGCCCTGGTGTGCTGCATAGCGCTGCATAGCGTTGCATGGGCCGTGGTTGACTGGACCGACTGGACCGAACTGGATACATTCACGGCGACGAGTTCCTCAGAGAGTCTATCCGCTCTCCTCAGCTCTCCGTAAACTCCGTGAACTCCGTGAACTCCGTTGGGGCTCTGGTCCTTGTCTGCAATGTTTGTCGGACGTCCGACGCTGGTACGATCGAGACAGGAAGGGGACGATCGTTGATGACGCAGTAGTCCTAATGGTTGGACCAGATGCAGATCATGGTGTGGATCAGTGGAGCGCGGCGATCGCGGCGAGTGAGTCAGTCCGAAACGTCGGGGTACGCGGGATGGAAATCTGGAATCACTGGAGCTGGCGGCTGGCGGAGCACAGTCCGCCGATCGACATCGACGTTGTGGAGCTGTTTGATCACCCCCCCGAAAAATCCAAATCCCGTCCCGCCGCGCCGCCGCGATCGCGGATCATGACGTCTGACATCTGCATTCCAGTCCGGCCGGAGTTTTCAGTCGCTCCGTAATTAGAACCAACGACAAGCGGAGATCGAGATCATGAGAAGAGGGAATACTGGTGGACACTGGCGAGCATCACAGACCTCTCCGTTGTCATCCCATGGTGGTGCCATGAGCTACCGTCGCGAACTCGGACGAAGGTCAATGGAAGGCTTAACGTGCAGCAAACACGCCGCTCAAGGCACGCTCCACAGACATGTGCCCATGACGGCTTGGGTCCGTTAGGTCCGAGGGTCGAGGTCCGAGATCGAGGCCCGAGGTCCGATTCAGCTACCCCGAATCCGAACGCCGGTCCGAGGGCTTGCCCGATTGCTCACGCATGTGGCAGTACACAGAGGGTAGAAAAGGATAGAGCGGGCAGGCGTCTAGGATTGTCTTGGGCAGGCGGGGGCCGTGAGCATGCCCCGGGGGGGCAACGGGGGCCATCGTGGGTCGTGAGAAGGCGGGCAGAAACGTGGGAGTGTGAATGAGCGGGGTCGGGCTTCGTTTATCGCGCGCGATGATGAAAGGGCTGCGGTGAACGGAAGAGAGGTACTGTGGAGCACCTCCAGTCAGTCAAGGGGAAGGTGAGTGCTTGCCCGCACGCCGGTGTGGTCAGTAGGCACATGGGCATGCCATTCTCGGGAGCGGAAGGGGCTCCATGGACAACGCCAACTCCATTACCTGCTGCAGAATGTCCAGTTCGCGAATGACCTTCTCACACTCTACCTCATCCTCTGACTCTCGCTCGGGCTCGTAGCACCTCGTCGGTGGCTACGCAAAACACGTATTTGACACACGAACGGACGTCGATGGTGTGTCGGCATGCAGGATGTAGGTTGAGGTCAACGCTTCCCGGACAAACACTCCGAGCGTGTACATCAGCGCACCTCTGCAACACCTCGCAATATAGGCGATCGAACGAACTGCTGTGCTGCGCTATTGCCTTGCTGGGAGCATATCGGCCGGATGGCATTGACCGCGGTGAGCCTGCTAGGCCCCAGCACCGCAACCGTCCTTCACTGCACTGGCACCCAGGACATCGCGGGGTCACAGGCTCGAGTGTGCCTTGTTGAGCTGTGGTGAGCGGTGCTGCGTTAGCAAGCGGCGGAGACCGCTCACAAGTCGTCCGTCGGCCGACCCCGATCTCCATCCTCTCCTTCGCAACTAGTCAGTCCACAGCATGTCAGTGGGTTTCAGCACCTGTGTCTCGGTGCACAAGAATGGGTACATACAACATGATTTTGAAACTCTATGTCGGTCTCTCCGTCGGCGCTTCAGCTCCGCGCTACGCTCACTTCGAGGACTGCTTGTAGCCCTTCGTGTTAAGTACGATGTTTCCGCAGATCGCACACAGTCCCTTCTTGTACGCGCACTTCTGGCATCTTGTCGCGTTGTTCTGCGCGACTTGGCCCTGGGCGTTAGCTCTGCAGATTGCAACCGCGAGCTGGCAATGCACGGCCTGTTCGATACCGCCCTTTGCACGAGGGCAGCACCACACGGCAAGCAGCACTACTCACCTTGCAATCGATGCACTTGTTGCTGTACGGGTTCACGTTCCGTGAGCCGCCAGGCTTCGCGTACGGCGCAGCTCGCGCGCGCGCGGAGAGAAGCTTGTTCTCTCCGATCTTGCGTCCGGACGCAGCCGACGGCTTGAACGGGTCCGACGTCGCAACCTGGGACGTTTTCTGAGAGTCAGCTGAGAGAACGAGGACTTGAAGCTTACCTTCTCGCACTTCTTGCACACCATGACGAAGAGGATGCGAAGTCAAAAAGACAAGTGATCGAGCTCGTCACAACAACCAGAGGTCGATGATCGCTCAAGATAGCTTGGTGGCAAGATTCAAGCGTCATCTAATTGGATTACTAATCGTGCACCTCGGTAATGAAATGAGATTAAGATTTGCCACGTGGATGACATTCCTGACGTGTACTCAGTATCACACCTCCCAGGGCCAGCTCAGTGAGGTGACGACACCACTTGCGGTTCGGACTTGAACGAGCGCGAGACAACTACACGTCGCATCCATCGAGCTCGTCGACAGCGAGCACGCCGAAAACAGCAGACCGAAGCAGCTCAGCGACCCGAATCGCGTGAACGAGCCGCGCCCACCTTTCCGCTCTCTACTTCCTTCCCTGAACACCCATCACACACTCTCCACCGACATCTCCCACCTCTAAACTGCACAGCATGGACCCTCACAGGGACGAGAACCTCCCGCTCGTCGTTGACAACGGTACTGGAGTAAGTTAACTGAGTGTGGTGACGAACTGACAAACAGTTCGTCAAGTGCGGTTGGGCGGGCAGCAACTTCCCGGAATATGGTGCGTCGCGCGAGTGCAGGACGCTGCCGACATGACGGCGATGGCTTCGCAGCTACTTATCTTGATCTCAAGCTAACGCATACAGTCTTCCCTTCCGTTGTTGGACGACCGATTCTGCGTGCCGAGGAGCGCCTGGGCTCGTCGAAGCTCAGCGACCTGATGGTCGGAGACGAGGCGGCTGAGAACCGAAGCTTTCTGCAGATGTCCCATCCCATGGAGCACGGTATCATCAAGAACTGGGAGGACATGGAGAACCTCTGGGACTACACGTTCAACAACAAGCTTCAGGTTGACACGCACGGCCGCAAGATCCTCCTGACCGAGCCACCCATGAACCCGAAGGCGAACCGCGAGAAGATGGCCGAGGTCATGTTCGAGAAGTACGGCTTCGGAGGCGTCTACGTTGCCATTCAGGCCGTCCTGACTCTCTATGCCCAGGGTGAATATGAAGCGCTCTGCCGAAAGCACGCTTTGAGCTGACGTTCAGGTCTGCAGACTGGTGTCGTCGTCGACTCTGGAGATGGAGTCACCCACATCGTCCCCGTGTACGACGGATTCGCTCTTCCCCACCTCACTCGCCGTCTGGATGTTGCTGGTCGCGACGTCACCCGCTACCTCATCAAGCTCCTTCTTATGCGCGGATATGCCTTTGAACGTACTGCCGATTTCGAGACTGTCCGTGACATCAAGGAGAAGCTCTCGTTCGTCTCATACGACCTCGATCTCGACAAGAAGCTCGCCGATGAGACGACGGTCCTCGTTGAGAACTACACGGTAAGCTGTCATCAAGTCCGATGTAGCTAACGATCCAGCTGCCGGATGGCCGAGTCATCAAGGTCGGGTCAGAACGCTACGAGGCCCCCGAGTGCATGTTCCAGCCGCACCTGATCGACGTCGAGCAGCCCGGTGTCGCCGAGCTGCTGTTCCAGACGATCCAGGCCGCTGCCGTCGACACGCGTGCCGAGCTGTACAAGCACATTGTCCTCTCGGGTGGTTCGTCGATGTACCCCGGTTTCCCGTCGCGTCTCGAGAAGGAGATGAAGCAGCTGTACCTCACGCGCGTCCTTGGAGGAGACGCCGAGCGTCTCAAGAACTTCAAGATCCGTATTGAGGACCCGCCCCGCAGGAAACACATGGTCTTCCTCGGTGGAGCTGTGCTCGCCGACATTATGAAGGACAAGGATGCGTTCTGGGTCACCAAGGAGGAGTGGGACGAGCAGGGCGTTCGCGCTCTTGACAAGCTCGGACGTGGCGAGTAGGTCTATAGAAGTAACTGCATATGTTTTATGAAATGATATCTAGCAAGGTGTGCTGCCCGTTGTGTGGAAGCGGGTCGTAGTTGCAAAACGTGGGCTCTGCTGTGAACATATGATGCGGTGGCGGCCATCGCCGCTCGGCAACTATTCCGAAGTGCGTTGCATTAGAGCTTCGCCTCCTCGACGTAGAGCTTCTCGAGGCCCTTGCGCATCTGGTCGACCATGGCTGTCGGTCGGCGCTCCGTGGGGTGGACAAAGACGTGCGTGAATCCTCCAACGGCCGAGACCGAGTCGACGCCCTCCTTGAAGAAGCCGACCTCGTAGGTGACGGAGCTCTTGCCGAGCTTGCTAACGCGGAGACCGAGGTCAACGACTCCCGGGAACTCGAGCGATGAGAAGTAGTTGCAGTTGCTGGCAACAACGAGGCCGATCGGCTCCGATGGATTCGGGTCGGTCGGCTTCAGACCGCAGTGCTCGATGAGGTATGTGTTTACAACGGAGTCAATGCTGTTGTCAGCTTGCAGACACACATTTCAAGAAGCTGCTATCCCGCAACATGAATGCCGCCTTCGTCAGAGCTGCAACCTCACAACGAGCGCATAGAAAGATGCGAACATTGGGTTCAGTTGCAGGTTGGCTTCCAGGGAAGCGCCCAATGAAGACACTCACAGGTAGTTGTACACAGAGTTGTTCACATGGCCATACTGGTCGTTATCAGCCCAGCGCAGCCTGAACGGCAGGAAGTAGCGGTATTGTGACCTGAGGCGGGCCTTGAGCACGTTGACGGACATCGTTGATGATGCTGAAAGTCAAAGTCGGTGACGAGACTGAGGTGGATGGTCGGACCCGGCTACTTCTCGGTGCCTTCCGGTCCCAGGCTACGCGGCGATGTGCGCAGTGGAGGCGGTCCACCCGTGTGGATTGCATTCCTGCTCCGCCCAACTTTTCTGCCTAAACATTGTCCGCACGTCGGAGTGCAGCGAGTAAGAGATACGCATCGTGCATTAATCGCTCATGCCAAGATCTTGCAAGCGATGTGCACAGCCCCGACTTCGGCGTACCGAGCATGCCGACGGCCGTAGGCTCGGAGTGCTCGGCAAGCTCGGTAAGGCACCCACTGTTCCGCTAGCGCGACGGTGCACCAGCCAACAGGCAGTCCGAGCCGGGATGACGTCGAAGTCCGAGCCGCGGATCCGCGATCGTGCACCGCATGGTGATCTGCATCAGGCATTCCACACCACCGTCAACACACGGGAAGGACAATATATCATGCTAACATGTGTTGAGATCTCATCGTTCCTCACATTCCAACAACATCAACCTCACTCACAGTGATAACCACATATAAGTACTGTGCTTTGCCCCGACACATCGACCATCTCGAACCCACCTCTAGTCCTCAACTACTACGTCCCGGACCGCCGCTGGCCTTTAGACGTACAATAACACAACACGACATCATGGGTCTTTTCGGCAAGAAGAAGGAAGAGGAGCCAGAGCCCATCCCGCTCTTGGACCCCGTTGAGCCCCCGATCTCCGTGTTCCCCAACATGACGCGCGATCGCCAGGTCTCGCTTGAGTACAGGCAGAAGCTGATGACGATGAAGACTGTAAGCTAAGATGGTTGAGATGGGAGCTGACATGCAGGAAGACTTCACGGTGTTCGACTCGGACAACGACGAGCCCATCGTCACTGTCACTGGACCGGCGATGTATGCGCGCAAGTTTAAGAGTGAGTGCCTTCCCCATGCCGGCTTCCTCCATGTGTGCCATCTCCCTGCGTCTCAGGCTCGAATCGGACCCACATGAGGCCTTCCTCGCAGCCTGCCTGGTCAGCTGTCGTCAGTTTGACCTCGCAGAACTGCAAACCCTTACCCAGCTTACATGACTCGTCCCGATAGCTGACGAGCAGCCGTGACGCTCCCGAACGGCGAGCCCCTGTTCAAGATGCGCGTCAAGCTTGCGGCCGTCAACCTCCGCATCATCTGCGAAGACGCCGAGCGCGGGACGGAGTTCTTCCAAATCAACCGCGAATGGGCATGTGAGTACCTTATCTTCGGTCCGACAGCCGACGCAACATCTGCGCGCCAGGTACGGATGAGCCTTCTCCACGAAAGCCCGGAGTACCTTTGCTCCAGCTCTGTGCCGCCCGATCACGGAAGACGCGCGCTGGGCGCTGGCGAGACGTGCATATAAGATCACGTCTTGCAACTGCTCGAGCGCATGTCGCCATGTGGGGGATGTGCGCGTTCGTGCGGCGGCATGGGAGTTTGAGTGTGCACAGATGTTCACCTGCACTGCCTTGATTGCGGACTGACCTTGCGGGGCCGTGCTGACAACACAGGGAAAGTCAAGCTGAATCTCCGCCAAAATCTCACCGTCGGAGACTCGCCTACGTTGCACCTCGTTGGCAGCGCTGGCGGGTCGCAGGCCAAGGTGACGCTGAAGGACTCGGGCCAGCTCGTGGCGGTGCTCGACCGTGTGCGCTGGGGCAAGGAGGGGATGCAGAACAAGCTGACCGTGAGTTCGCAGTTTTGATGGTCAACTGACAGAGACAGTATCGTATGGCGGTTGCGCCAGGCGTTGACCTCGCACTCATAACTGCGCTTTGCCTGGCCTGGGACAAGGCGAAGGAGGACGACAGGAAGCGAGCGGCTGCCGCGTCTAGCGGTGGCGGCGGTTAGCCACGTCCTCCTGCGATAGCCCCTCTCCAGCCGCAATCGACTGCGCTTCCTGGTCGTCCAGGTCTCAGCGAGCTGAGGCGTCGCAAGATGTTTGATAAATTTTTCGGGTTTCTGTCGGACAAGGCTTGTCTGTATCTATATACAGCGCTAGCCTCGCTTGCCAAGCTGCGCTTGTAACTCTTGTATGCCATTCATGATTCGTTGCCGTTGTTCGCTTGCCAGTGTGCAAACGTGCATGTGGATCGATCGAGGCAGCGTAGTCGTGCGTCCGTGACATGCTGCGGGGTTGCGGCGGCGCCGCCTCTCTGCTCCGTCCCCTCACCTTTTCGACAGTCACGAACCCCGGTTTCCGAGGCGTGAGCAGCTAAAAGACGATTTGACTGAAAAAAGAACGACTCACCCGCTATTCAACAGCACTCTGGTCCGCATCCAGGGATGCAATCCGCAAGGCACGCTGAGGGGTCGAGGGGCCGAAGAGGACAACAAAAACACCAAGTGCACAAAGAGGGGGACATCAGGTGCATTTCGTAAGGAGAGTCAGGGCTGGCGATGTCCGTCTGAGCGACATATTACCCATTTCGAGGCTTTTCAACGATGCAACGACGAAAAAGCGTCGTTAGCATTGTGCACAGGCCTCGCAGGGAAGCAGGTTTAGGAAACAGCTTATTGAACTCTGTTTACGACCGCAGCTGCCCCATGTGCATCACACAGCGTGCAGAGCAAAGAAATGCAGGCCCAGGGAAACGGTAAGGGCTGCGCGGGGGCTTCTGGCGCGTCTTGAGTTGTCTCACCGCACAGGCTGACGCCAACGTCCAGGCTGCGGTGTCTGTCGTCGCCACCGCCGCTCGTACCGCACATACCTCTAGGCCATGGAGGCCAGGACATGCAGTTAGAGATGAGGCCTCCTTCTGCCCCTGTCAGCATCCTGTAAGAATCCTGTCAGCATGCTGGCATCCCTTGCCTGTCCATCTGTTCTGCACGACCCGGCGGACACTTTATCTCTGCTTATCCTGGCTCTGCACATCGTTTTCCCTTATACATCACCCTGCGGGGAGTCGGTCCGACGAGGCGGCCAAAAGGGGGAAAGGATGGACTTCTCCAATGTCCCCAGTGGACTCCAGTGGGGTGTAAGGGATGCGGAGGGGTGCGGGCCCACGCGCCGCCAGTGGCACTCGCACCGGGGCCAGCAGCGCCAGTGGTGGGGCCATCGAGGGTGTCGAGGGGCAGGCGCTGCTGGACCAGTCAATGACGTCGAGTCCAGACGCTGACGCACGTCGCTTTTGCATTGTCGAGCGACGCGAGCGACGACGATGCAACGATGCGCCGATTGATCGAAAGCATGAAAGCATGGTTGCTCCGCAGCCAATTGCGAGCTACCATTCTTTGCTGGGGGTGACAGTTGGAAGCGATCAAGCTCTGATCGATACAGGATAAACCTGGACCGGTAGCTTAGGGCCCAGCGCTGGTCCGGCCCTATCTTTGCCCAGGGTATGTTGATAGCCTGTAGCCTCGTATCTTTCGCCGCCCGTTACGTCAAGCTGAAAGTTTAGCGCCGGCGAAACCTCTGTTCGGCACGGGCAGAATGACTGCCCGCAGAAGTGCAGCTCTGCAGAGAAGCGTCGGGGAGAGGTCGGCAGGTTACTCGGCAGGGGATACGGCGGAAGGGTGTCCGGACATGAGGATTCCGGGGCCTCTCAATTGAGTTTGCGTACCCCGGTCTGTCGGTGGAACACTCGCAGTGGGTTCATCGAGACTTTGGAATGATGTCTGTCCTCGTGCACGCGAGTGAGTCATCGACACGACCTCAGGCCAATGAGACAACGGGAACGTGGGCTTGGCGACCTGTGCGAAGTCTCTGGACCTCGGGTGGGCGATGGAGAGGAATGGCGAGACAAGAGGGATCAGGCGATACACCTTCGGAGGACCGGCCACCTGGATGCCAGCTGCCAGCTGCTGCCTGTCAGCTCCCCACGGGGGGTTCAGCGCCGGCAAGCACGGCCCCACAACGGTCCGCCCATAGCCTACAGCCCACCTGCGTGTGCGATTCGCCAAGACATCCCCCCTCCACTTTGAGCCACAGCCTGGTGCAGTTTCGAGACCAGGGATCCTGAATGGCCAGGACAGCCAAGCGAACATGCTGTCAGATGGCTCGGTGCAACGACGCTCTTCTCACGCCGTCTGCGCGCTTTTGCAGACAGACTGCGACATGGACACCCGGCCCTGGCTGACTTCTGCCTGGGCCCCTCAGCGCCTCGACGCCACTGCCCCATGCCCCGGGCCTCTCGTCGCCTCTCCAGGCGTCGCGGGGTGTCAGGATTCCAGGGCTGGGTCAGGACCGGACACGATCATGGCCCTGAACACTCAGGATCTCGTGAGCACCTCCACTTCGAGAGCTCGACCTCGGCAGGCGCGGTAGGAGGACCAAGCGCGAAACATCTTTCTTCCACTCTGAACGTGCTCCTGCTCTCTTGCTCTCGATTCCTCATCGTCGTACTCGCATACTCAAGCGCAGCTCGTGCTCAGCCAAACGCAACAGGCACCGAAAGTAGCGAGTCGGAATCCTAGGCGCCTACAGGACAGATCCTTATCCTAAGGTCCTTTGGTACCTCTGCTCTCCGCTTGCGCTCGCTTTTCAGCACCAGTTGTTTCTCCCGGCTCTGAATCGTGAATCACAAGACCTCTCGTACCTCTCCGTCCCACCTCTTCGGCAACAGGCGCATCAGACCTGCGCCCCGTCACCCACGCCACAACCGTACCCGTACGCCCAGCCGTAACCTCTACAACCCCGCAAGCCCGAACACCCAGACAGCCCGGTCGTCGGCAAGACGGCAAGACGGCCCATCGCATTCACGACATCCGTACCTCACCCCCAACCCAGCGCTCAGCCCTCGGCTTCTACCTGTGATTGCCCAGCTGCCGCACTCTAAACGTTAAAGGGGCCAGTCGCTCCGAAACCGTGATTTCCGCTCCTCCAGCTTCCTTGCCCTCCCACTTTCCTAAGCTTCCAGGCCTTCCATCGCCGCCTGACTTGCATACTACTTAACCCACCACACATCACCTCACGCTCTTTCCTTTTTCGCTCGGCCTACCACCCACCCACACCAGCTCACCTTTTCTTCTTCACCACTTGCACTTGATCTGTCCTCGACTCCCTTCTTCGACATCACAACAACAGCACCGTCAAAGAACGCAGGACACTTGTGCCGCTCGCAGATTGTTTCTTCCCTCCGCCTCCCCTTCCCCCACCCCTTGTTGACTTTTCTCCCCTCCGCCAGCCGACACCATGGCGACCATCGTCAGGCATGGCCCGGGGTCCTCCCACAGCTTTGAGGACCGCCGGAGTCTCGAGAAGTCCTCCCAGGACAACCAGTTCGACTACACCGCTCCCGATGCCCTTCCCGAGCCCGACCCGCGCGCTCTCAAGTGGGCCATCCTCAAGCTCGACATGATCTTCCTTCCTGCCGTCACCATGGTCTACTTCCTGTCCTTCCTTGACGTGAGTTAGGATTATTGGCGACGCAACTGACATATAACAGCGAAGTAACATCGGTAACGCGAAGCCGGCTGGTCTCATGGAGGACCTCAAACTCACAAACCACCAGTACTCGATCGCGCTCACTGTCACCTATGTTCCTTACATCGTCGCCGAGCTTCCCCTTACCCTGCTTATCCGCAAGGTCGGCCCTAACATCTTGCTCCCCGTCCTCATGATCTGTTGGGGTCTCGTCACCACCTTCCAGGGTTTCGTCCACAACTACGCCGGTCTTCTCGCTGCTCGTTTCTTCCTCGGTGCCGCTGAGGGAGCTATCCTTCCTGTACGTTAATCGCTCAGCTGTTCGTCTGATCGTATAGCTAACAATCAGTGTTGCATGACCTACCTGTCCACGTTCTACCGCCGCCAGGACCTCGCTAAGAGGACTGCGTTCCTGTTCTGTGCCACCTCGCTCGCCGGTGCTTTCTCCGGTCTGCTCGCTGCCGCCATCGTCCAGATGGAGGGCCTGGGCGGCAAGCGTGGCTGGGCTTGGATCTTCATCATGTGAGTTCGGCTCGATTGTTGGGACGTAGACGAAGGGCGGCAGGGGCAAGGGCGCGTGGAGGCTCGGGTGGTGTGGCGTTGTGGCAGTGTGTCACAATTTTGCGAGGCACAACTGGGGCTGGGCGTTTCGGGCTCTGCCTAGTCCCAACTTTTGGGCCATACCCGACAGCCTCCGGCCCTGCATGCCCATTGTGGGCACCGTTGCCTGCGCCGAAATCCATGACAAGCCTTATTGTACACATGCTGACCTCCACAGCGAGGGCGCGTTCACCGTCGTCTACGGCGCCGTCTCGTTCTTCCTCCTTCCCCGCGACCCGAGCAGCGTCTTCTACCTCCGCACCGACCAGACGCAGGCTCTGCTCGCCGCGCTCGACCGTGACCGCCCCCCTGCTGAGAACCATGAACAGCTCAAGGCCTCCTCGGTCCTTGGTGCCCTCACCGCTCCCCAGGTCTGGCTCGTCGGCGCCCAGCTCTTCGCTTCGGGTACTGCTCTCTTCTCGATGGCCTACTTCTCGCCCACCATCGTCCAGGGTCTCGGCTACAAGGGTACCGCGATTCAGCTCTACTCTGTGCCTCCTTACGCCGTCTCTGCCGTGCTCTCGCTCTTCGTCTGTTTCTGGTCTGACAAGACGCGCCACCGTGGCGGTTTCGTCATTTTCTCGGCTGTCCTCCAGCTGATCGGTTACGCGCTCTACCTCTCCTTCAAGGACAAGCACGTGCGCTACTGCTCGCTCTTCTTCCAGGTCATGGGAGCGTACGTCAGTGCGCCGCTGCTCTCGACGTGGATGCCGAACAACCTGGCGCCCTTCTACCGCCGTGTCACGGGCATTGTCTGGGGTTTCATCGTCACCAACTGTGGTGGTATTCTCTCCACCTGGCTGTTCCCGACGACCGAGGCGCCCGACTACCGCAAGGCGACCAGCATCCTGCTCGGCCTCTCGTGCTCCATGATGGTCATGGCGTGTCTCAACATGGCCTACCTTGGCGCCATGAACAAGCGCCGCAAGCAGCGCGGAGGCTTCGATCTCGCCAACGGCGCCATGGACGACGCCGCCACCCTCGGCGACCGCTCTGTCCACTACAAGTACATTCTTTAAGCCCCGTTTTCGAGCCGAGGGCCGGAGGCTCGAGGCAACAGAAGACGTGGACGTAGAGGAGAATCGCGAGAAGAGAGAGAGAAGAGTCGGCGCCGGTTGTTTTTTCCCTTTGTTTTCCCTGTTTCCACACACTCCATCACACCGTTCTTAATCCATATAAATAGTTAAAACAAACCACACGCAAATTTTTAGCCAAATCTAGGTCGTATCGTAAGTTGGAGAAAGGGAGGGCTTTGAAAGAGCAGCCGGAGTCGAGGGTGGTTTCTTGATGATTGATGAGTAGTGAGATTGTATATAGTCACGACACGATAAAGTAGTTCTCAATGTCTCCATGGGTTTTATTCTTGCCGGTTCTCGTCTCTGTAGAGGGGCAGTTAATGCAAGTGGTTCTCCCAGAAATGTCCAAGCGAAGCAGATGTGAGCTGACCATGGTGCAATCCGTGAGCTTCTCACTGCGTGGAGGGATTCTCCCGAGTCCAATGTGTACATCTTCTTACATCTCTGCAATCCCTCGTCATCCTTCTGTCACTTCCTACAATCTACGCCGTTTTATCCACATTTTAGCCTCACAGGAAGAGCTTCTACTTGAGGTGAGCGACCTTGTCGCCACCAACCGGTACCTCCGCCGAGTCCTTGAGGTCGTCCGCCTCCTCGCGGACGTGCTCCCGCTCCAGGCTCCCCTGGGGCGGATACCTCTCCTTGAGGCCAAACTCATCCACTAGCTCGCGCAGCTGCGGCCAGAGCTCGTCGCTCGTGCTCCCACTCAGACTGTGCAGGGCCTCGGGGTACTCGTTCGCGAAGTACTCGAGGAGCGGGGCCGTCGATTTGTAGAACGACGCCAGGCGCTTCGAGAACACCTCGGGCGTGTCGTCTGGCCGCTTGCTGAGCGGCTCGCCCGTCTCGTCGTCCTTGCCTGGCACCTTGGGCGGGTTGAAGTCGTCGTTGTACACGCGGCCACTTGGGAGGTGAACCCAGCGGGCTGGGGTTAGCTATGTGAGAGAATGACAAAGCTTGCACAGAACTCCCTTCTCGTCCTCTCCGGTCTGCTTCACGAACCAAGGAGCGGTAGTCAGACAGTGCTAGGTTGATACAGGAGCTGCACAAGATAGGCGGGGAGGGTGAAAGGAAGGGAGCTCAATTCGGCCCCTCGCACTCACCAGCAATCCGGCTCATGATCACGCTGTCCGGGACATTGAGGTGCACGACCATGTTGAGCGGCCTTCCAGCCTTGCCAAGCTCGGCAGAGAGCAGCTTGCCTTGCTCGAGCGTGCGCGGGAATCCGTCCAGAATCCACGACTTGCCCCGGTGTCGCTCCAGCTCCTTCTTCACGATCTCGAGCATGAGCTCGTCGGAGACGAGGCCTGAGGTCAGCTTACAACTCAAACCGCCACAGCGTTGCGTCAAAGAATAGCGAGGGGAAGTGTGAGGCCGGAACGCGTGAAGGGGAAAGGAAGGCGGGAAGCAGCACAGAAGGCGCGCCGATCTGACGATCAACGTCGATCAAATCGACACGCCATTGTTGCGCTACACACAAGTGCGCTGGAAGGTCTTCCCTCTGGTGACCTAAGATGGAAGGTCTGCCCCACTTGAAGTGAGGGTGGGATGGGGGTATCACCCCCTTGGCAGTGAGGGCAGCACGGAAGCCCCACCACGTCCTGCTCGCGACTCACCTCCGGAAGCAACGACCTTCTCGGCCTCCTTGCCCACTTCTGACCCGGCAGCAATCTCGTGTCGAAGCACATCGCCGGTAGAGATGAAGTCGATGTCGTAGTTCTCGACGAGACGGGAGGATAACGTGCCCTGCGTGGTTAGCTAATGAGCTTCGAGACGTAGCAGCCATGTTCAACACTCCCTCACCACAGCCTACTGCTGGGCAGGACGCAACGGCGTTGAAGCTGCGTCCTGACCATCAAAGAAGAAGTGGTCGGGCAACCTCAAGGGCCGCGGGCAAAGGCACGCCGCCGCGTTCAATGCGCGTCTGAAATGGATGGCGCCAGGTTGGCTTGCACCTGAGCGCACAGAGGACTGGACTCACCTTGCCAGCACCAGGCTTGCCAAACATGAGCATACGGAGCGTGTCGCCGCCAGCCTTGGGGCGGGGCTTGCCGACGGCCTTCTCGCGGGCGAGGTCCATGACGCGCGCAATCTCGTCCTCGGGGGTGCGCCTCGTGCTGCTGGCTGAGAAGGCGCGGTGCGCGTTGAACGCGAGCCGGAGTGTCGGCGCTTGGGGGCGAAGGACGGAGAGCATGGTGTGTGTCAAGGGGGGATGAGGGAGTGTGCAGAGGAAAGGAAGGAGGGAAGGAGGAGGTCTACGCCAGCCAAACTCAAAGTCACGTACGCCCCCAATGGTGCTTGGTCGCTTCGGACTGACGGTACGCCGGAGCGGACGCTGGGCCGCGCAGCCGGACCGTGACGTCGCTGAAACCTCGGAAGGCGCTCCATATCTTAGCCGATTCGGACAGACCTTGCCTCTGTGACCCTAAACGTGCCCCAGAAGTTACCACGTGACCTACTCCTCACGTGACCCACTACACACGGAGATCTATGCATAGTCCTCACCACGCGACACTTCAATGCGATTTTTCGTTTGCGAGGAAATTACTGCAACCCCGCCTGCTAGAGGACGATCTCAACGACCACTGGAGGCCACACCTGCTTCCACCCATATTCGCCCCCTCTTACCAACTACGACTATCAACATGAGCGGACGCGGTGGATTCTCGCGAGGCGGCGGCGGCGGTCGTGGTGGCTTCCGTGGTAAGTCTTGCTCTCAGTCTGCCGATGGCTGGGCTGTCACCAATCCTGCTCTTGCGCTCGAGGCACCCATCACTACATGAGCATCTAAGCTGACGTACTAGGAGGCCGCGGCGGCGGTCGCGGCGGCTTCACGCAAGGCCCGCCCGACACTGTTCTCGAGGTTGGCTCGTTCAAGCACCCGGTCGAGTCCGAGATGCTGTGCTCGCTCACGATGCCGGAGAAGGTGCCCTACTTCAACGCGCCGATCTACCTGAGCAACAAGACGCAGATCGGCAAGGTCGACGAGATCCTCGGCCCCATCAACGAGGTCTTCTTCACCGTCAAGATGGAGGCGGGCATGAACGCCGACTCGTTCAAGAAGGACGACAAGGTCTACATCGGCGGCGACAAGCTGCTCCCCCTCGACCGCTTCCTCCCCAAGCCTAAGGTTGCCGGACCCAAGGTCAAGAAGCCTGCCGGCGCTGGCCGTGGCGGTGCCCGTGGTGGACGTGGCGGCGCGCGCGGTGGTGGCCGTGGTGGATTCGGAGGACGCGGAGGCGGCCGTGGTGGCTCCAGCTTTGGCGGTCGTGGAGGCGGCCGCGGAGGCGGCTTCGGTGGCCGTGGTGGCGGTCGCGGAGGCGGCTTCTCGCGCGGCGGTGGCCGGGGCGGTTACTAGGCGCGGTGTAGATTATGTATTGTATACCCGACTGCGCTGACCAGAGCGACCACCAAGCCAGGCGGACTGTCACGAAGTTGACGCCGGCGTTGGTGGGCAGAACTGACCCATCTGACCCATCTGACCCATAATTTGACCCGCTCTGCAGCCACACTCGACTGGCAGCTCCGCGAGACATTCACTATGGCACAATATACATTTGGTTTTGTCACATGGAGGAGTAGACAGTGCGTCTATGGGCGTGGTGGGGATGATGGAGGACAGCTTCTCCTTTGATTTTCTTCAGCGCGAGTAAGACGTCGATCTCCTCGCAATTAGACTCTTCTTGATCGCTTCACTTCTGAATCGTCTTCGTCGCCTTCATCACCTTCAGCTCCGAGATTTATGGTACAGATTGACACACGCCTGCCTCTTCTTCTTTCCTACATACAGTTGGCTTGGGTCTCATCCACTTCGTAGGGAAGGTCGTCTCCCTACAGGCCGACCTCCCACTTCTCGCGGTCCTGTTCGGCCATGCGGAGCGCAGTGTTGAGCTCCTCGACGCCAGCAGCACCCATTCCGCCGTCGTCCTGGCCAGCACGGGGGAGGGAGAGGAGAGCGCGCGCAAGGCCCTCGTGGCTGAGCCCGTCCTGGAAGGAGCCGAGGCCGCCGACCTCGACCTCGGAGAGCGAGAAGCCCTCCATGTCGTACTGCATGAGGTTGTCCTGAATGTCGACCTGATCGACCTGGTCCATCTGCTGAACAGCAGCGCCGGGAGCCTTATCGACGCCAATCGTGCTCTGTTGCACGGGCTGGGGCCCAAACTGCTGCTGCTGGGCGTGGGCCTGCACAGCCTGAGCCTGGGCCTGCGCCTGCGCCTGCTGCTCGTTGGTGGGTGCGGCGTCTGCGGATGAGGTCGCCTCGCCAGACTTGGGCGTCGCGCTCTCCCCGCTCTCGGGCTCCTTGGACGAGTTGGCGCCCCGCTTCCGGTTGCCGCGCGGGTTCTTGGGTGGCTTAAAGTCCTTGATCGGGCCGCGCAACTTGCGGAACCGGTTGTAGATATCGGGGTACTTGACCTTGAGGGTAAGGGCGAGCGCAGGGGGCTTGTCGGGGTCCACGTTGTGCGGGTCCTGCGCGATCTGCGCGAGGTACGCGCTCTTCTCCTCCTCAGTCATCATGAGCGAGCGGCGAATCGCATCCGTATCCTTGCCCGCCTCAATCTGGGCCACCAGCCATTCGTCGATAACCTTTGGCAGGCGGCCGGACTCGAGCTCATCGTCGGCATAGGCGTCGTGTCCCTCGTGCTTCCAGAAGTAGGAGACCTTGCACTCTCCATCCTCCATCTCGGTCAGGACGATGCGCGCAGGGCAGTCGCACTTGACGCTCTTCTTCGTATTCAGGCGCAGCTTCTCGCGCGGCAGCGTCGTGCTGTGCTTCGCCTCGTAGCGCCCTGCATGGTGACACGTAAAGGTAACCTTCTCCTTGATCGAAGACGTGCGGTTGCGCCGACGGCGCTTCAACGGCGGTGCAGTAGCGGCCTCGCTGGGCGGAAGGGAGGCAAGCATCTTCTCGTGAGCCTTGACACGGGCGCGAAGGCGCTCCTCGGCACGCTTCTGCGGTGTCGTCGTTCGCCGCTGCACGAAGTGGCACCACGACGACTCGCCCTCGAACCAGACGTCGAACTCGGCGCGATTGGTGAACGCGAGCATCTCAGGATGCGGGGTCTGGCCCTCGGTGCGGATCGGGCGTGAGAATGGCGCAAACTGCGCTTCGGCGGCGCGCACGTGCAAGTGAGACGGTTGGGATGGACCAGCCTGCGCCTGCTGCGGTTCCGGCTTCAGATCCAGCATTTCCCCAGGAGGGGGACCGACAGGGCCGTCCATCTGTGCGTTGATGCCGTCGTTCATGCCGTGGACGTTGCCATGAACGTCCATGACTGAGCCGCCCATGACGTTGAGGTTTGCGTTGACGCCGTCGACGCCGCCAGGCTGCGGCTGGTGGTCACCGACCTGGGGGACAGACTGGGACTGGACATTGTGGACACCCTGGACTAGCATCTCATGCTGCTGGGCTGCGGCAACGACGGCAGCGGCAGCGAGCTCGTCATCAAACTTGCCATCCTTGAAGAAGTCGGGGTGGAGCGCGGGGTCGATGAGCGAGTCGTCGACCTGCACCTGGACCCCGGCGAGATTGAGCGGAGGGGGGCCGTGATGGCCCTGGTCGTCGGCGGAGGCCATGACGGAGTGGTCGCGGGGGTTACAGGGGGGGGAGGAAAAAGGAATTGGTGAAGTGAGTCGCCAGTGGCGACAACAAACGGGAAGGGTTAAAAACACGATGCCAGCGGCGTCCGTTGTCAGCCTCACCCAGGGTCACCAGACTCGCACCACCACGTGTATCTCCCTTGTCAGCCTCACACGCCGGTGATTACGGTGCTTGCCACCAGATCGCCATGGCGCATCCTTTCTCTGACGTTGTGCGCAGCGGTACGAACCTCCGCGCCCTCCGCCCTCCACAACGCCCATGGAATGCTTGTGAATCCGCACTCAATGGAGTTCCGCTGCGCCGCAGGAGCACTCTCGGACTTGCCCCTCCAAACCTCGGTCATGACGTGCCGACGCAAGTGGCGAACAGTACGCGGTGAGACGAGATCGTGTGAAACCTCTATGCACTCATCTGTATGCCGTCATGTCCAAGAACCGAGTTGCTTCTGACGGAGCGGCGAGCAGACGAACGCCGTTTGCCTCCTTGCGCAGAGCTATGCAGTATGCAATCGAATGTGGTTGGCGCAACTTGCCTTCCCCGCGCCAGGCTACATGTGAGAGCTAAAAGAAGCACTGCTTGCCGATCGTGGCGCAGGAGAAAGCGATCACTCCCCCTCCGGGCACCAGTGGGCGAAGCAGCCGTCGACTGACGTGTGTGTGCAGCTCGTACGTGGAGAGCACTCAGCTTGATCGAGTAAATACATTGTTCTGAGCTAGATGGAAGCTCGGCTATGCTACAGCTGACGAGGTCTGCGAACCTCCAAAGTTACACAAGCTCATCACCCTCCGCGTAGACGTCGGCCCAAGTTTTGCCTTTGCCGCCTTTGACGAAATGGTGGTGATAGGTGCTGAGCAGTCAGTTAAGCGTCCCCCGTTCATGAACTCACGAAGTGTCGCGGATACCACTCATACCCGCAATGCTGGCCATGTTCATACTGCAGTCAGTAGAGATACAGCTGGAGAAACTCACTATCCGGACCTGGTGTGTGCGACTCCGCCCTTGGTCTGCGGCGCCGGCGCAGCCCAAGGAGAACGGCACCAGACGCAGGTAGAAGATGTGCCCCTGCTCTTCTGACAGTTAGTGGAAGACCAAATATCATACCCACTGCAGATGAAGACCACATCCTAAAACACTCGTCGTGGAGAGCTGGTAGTTGTTAGTAGCAGGCAACACAGTGACAACGTACGCTTCCCACAACCGCCGACAGAGATATCGAACACCAGCCTTCCAGACTCGAAGTCCTCCCTCGTCATTTCTTCGAAGCAGCTACGCTGTTAGCGTTGGAAGGTCGTTTTGTACTCACATAGGACAGTCATCACCAATCGTTGTCAGACGTCGACCTCCTGGGCCGGCCTCGTCCACCAGCTCGCCTTCAGACACCATCTTTCTGACATCTGACTGCGCCGTCGGCTCCTCATCGTCGTCAGCACCACTGGTAGCCTTGCGGAAAGCCTTCTGCACGGCTTCCGAGGCGAGTGCATCAGTGGATGTAGGTGCGGAGGCGTAGATGGAAGCAAGCTCGTCAGGCTGCGGTTAGTATGCAATGGAGCGGCGAACATACGAGCAAGGCTTTCTGGAACCACAAGTCGGAAGTCTGCGGCACTTTGAGAACCTTCAAGCTGGACGATCAGTAATCGTTCACAACTCGGGACTCACAATATGAAGAGGATGTGCTTGCATGGGGAATTGCCCTTCAAGTTGTCCGGACAGTCACATGAGGGTTTCGTGCCCATTTCGATAGTCTGAGGGAGATCAGAGATCATTTCTCGTCTGAACGCACGTAGATGTTGCCAGTCGAACCGAGCATGTTGAACGTCTCGCGGATGCTCCCAGACGAGGAGTCCACGCCAGAGCGGTGGACCATGAACTTTGGTTAGCTCGGTCGTTGTAAAACTCCTACCATGCGCTGCGAAAGGACCCTCTCCACTTGCACGTCAGCAATAAACGCAATGCAGGCTTACTCCTGTCCACCACTGTCTTGGGGCATCTGCATGTCAGCTCCAGGTATAGGGGTTGTGACGCACGATTTGCGATAGCGAGCTTCTCTCTTTGGTGGAGGAGGTTCCTTCGACTCATCTTCATCCCTGCGCTTGCGCTTACGGGACTTGGTTGGGGACGGCTCTGCTTTGATTTCTACCTCGAGTTCGGTGAACTCTTGCTTGATCGTGCTTGACGAGGTTGCCGGTACCTCGGAGAGGGAGGGGCTGAGGGATGCCTCCCTTTTGACGATGGAGGTCTTGCGGGTACTTCTTCTCATTATGTTGCGGATGAGCAAGCGAATGGTGGCAAGAGACGAAGAAAGCCAGAAAGACGAGTCCGTAGTGAGAACTTAGGACGGCTGAAACCGGTTGATTGTACTGATAGCCGCTTCCCCGTGGGGTAGTTCGCCGCTGGGTGGCAAACGATGTCTTGCGGCAGGAGGATTCCGCTTACTGGTTCGGGGGTCAAGGTCATCAGCGTCTCGAAGTCCCGGGGGTCAAGGTCATCAGCGTCTCGAAGAGCACATCCATCCATTTCACTATGCTGGTGGATGATGCAGTGGGGTGAGCTCTGAGGCCGACCGCTCGACAGACGAGACAAAGTGCGCAGCTGGTGTTGTGACGAAGGCGATGTCGCGGATGCTGATCCTTTCGCCCCATCGCTCTGACCTACAGCACGCGAAACAATGACACACGCACGCACACAACTGAGTGTCGTGGAGACGGAGAGAGCATTGATGAAATATTGATTCGTCTGCAACCTCTTCCATCTGCATTAGCATCAACAACCATGGACGATGTCGACTTTGTGCACACGCCGGGTCACCACCCTTTGTTGCCCATCCCCAAGGAGCTCAACGTCCGTCCTCCCCGAGCCAACGCCCACGCAGCCGAAATCCTGAAGCAGATGATGGCAGATGCGCCCGTCGCTGAGGACCAGGTCCTCGACCTATCAGCTGGAATCGAGAAGTCGCCGGAGGACGCAACGGTGCTCCTTCCTCTCTCCACTGTCGGCAGCCCGGCAAAGCAGACCGCCTCTTTACCCCGCACGCCCGATGAGACGCCTGGCAGCCCAGACGAGACTGAAATTATCAAGGCCGTTTTGCCATCAGTACGTTGTGGACCTCTGTGCTGCTAACGGAAGCCCGCTTCGACGCCTGAAGCGTCTGGTACCTCCACGCCGGCACAGGAGGAGGAGGACAACCTCTCGAACGGTTGCGACCTCCCCATTCCCAAGCCCGGAAAGGGTTACGTTCCAAAGGTGGACTTGAGCTCGGGTCTCTCTTCTCTGTCACCTCAGCATCCTACCCGTGTGTGGAATAGCCTCCTGCACGCTTGTCGCCCAGAGCATCAGCCCACGGTCAAGTGGCAGTACATCAACCGTCAAAGTGAGTCATACTGACCGCTGACCCCACTGACGTCAAGAGGGCTACCTGGCAGAGATGACTGTGACTCTGCCTCCAGAGCATCCCATTGTCAAAACTCTGGCCAGGAAACAGCTCCCCCTTGACAATAATTCTGCCGAGTACAAAGATGCGCTGCGTCGACTCGGAGGCGAGAAACGTTGGAAAGGGCAGACTAGGCGACTCAAGGTGAGCAGAATTGCAGTGTCCTCACTGACCTTCCAGGCAGAGGCTCAAAACGACGCAGTTCGTCAATGTATCGCCGACAACGGTCTTCTCTGGGTCAACTATGAGGTAATGAGCACCGTCGATCCCGGGACTTACCTCGGTGAGCAGGCCGCTCGCCTCCGTGGAGGGAGGCCCCTGCTCACCGTCCCGGTCCAACCATCCCAGCACGCGTCCAAGCGTCCCATGGACGATGGACACACAGGTGCGAGGAGCGTTAAGCCCAAGCTCAGCATTACTACGGCCTCCACCTTGAAGGTCACCGAAGACGCCGCGAGTTCCGGAAACGGCCATGCCGGAGGTACGTGCGCCGCCGGGTCGTGGAGCCTACCACCGAAGGTATCAAACGAACTCTGGTCGAGACTTCTGGTAGCTGACGGAGCGTTTCCAAGCTAACCATAGATCTTGAGAGACTTCAGCCGATGAGCACTGAGACCGGGCAGGTAGACTGGCAGCAGCAGTTGTCTTGTGAGCGCGGAAGGATCAAAGCATTGCTGACGCCAGCGTTCTGCATTGAGGCAGGAATGCCAGTCCCGAAGTACTACCAGCGCATCGAGAGACAGCAGGGTGTTTCCACCATGTTCTTTGGCCAGGTCACCGTTGAACACGACCACTTTGAGTCAGAGTAAGTCCCCGTGGCGCTAAAACAACCGTGGGTCACACGAGCTCACTCCGCCAGCAAGGGCTTCGTCAAGTTGCGTGAGGCTCGTCAAGAGGTCGCCCGCCTCGTCTTTTGCGAGCACTTCGGCCAGGAGCCTGCTGCCTAGTCACCGCCTCGGGCCTGTACATCGCCCCATCATGCATGCAACCTGTGATTTTAGGTGTGAAAGCAGTGCTGTAGCTGCGGGTTGCCATAGCCGCCACCGTATCCGGTAGAGTGGAGGTGCCTGATTGGTGACGCATGCGCACGGTGCTCTTAGCTACCACCTGGTAGAAGTCAGCGGGATGGACTTGACATCATCTCCACAATCACAACATCCACCACACCGACATGTCAGCCACGGATGTCCTCACCGAGGCGGCCACTCCGACAGAGATAGCGACAAGCGTAGCAAGTACGCTCGAGGCGCTGGCGACCGCAGTCACAGCAGCGGCTACCGCCCGATGAGGCTCAAAATGTGACCTTACCCCTGGGGTTAGATGGCAGCGATGTGACGCAGAGCACTGGAAATTACGTCGTCGTGAGTACTTCGGAGAGGTTGACAGACGTTTTTCATGCGTTTGTGGGCTCCGATGCCGGCAGCCCACACACGCCTGATAGGCGTCTCGGTGGTCTCGAGCCGGCTGGTCCATGCGGCGCTGACACGCAGAACACGATTATCGGCCTGCTGATCGTCCTCGGGGCATCGGTGCTTAACGCATTCGGATTGAACCTCACCAAGCTCGACCATTTGCAGAACTCAGCGATCCCGAAAGCTCAGCGGAAGAAGGAGTACCTGCGACCACTATGGCTGGGCGGCATGGGAATTTACATTCTGTCTCAGGTGCTGGGCTCGCCGCTTGCCCTCCGCTACCTGCGACCAGACTGGGTTGCGCCATTGGGAGCGAGCTCGCTGATCTTCAACTTTGTGTTTGCGTACTTCCTTGTGGGAACGCGTGAGTTGCTGTGTGAAAGGCTGACATAGCTGACCTCGCAGCCGTGACTACGTCGGACATCCGGGGAACAGCGCTAATTGTGCTGGGCGTGATCCTCATTCTCGTCTTCTCGAGTATCAACCACGGCCTGCGCGACTCGCTCTCAATAGACGAGCTGTCGGCGCTTTGGCGTCGACCGAGCTGGCTGTCGTATTTCTTCTTCCTGACGGCTGCTACTTTCGGCGTGTACCTGATTTCAGACGTCCTAGCGAAAGTGTCCAAGAACCGGGCGAGCCTCGACTCGCTGCCCTCGCCCGAGCTCCCGACCACACGTTTCGGGCGCGCGTCTCCCGGTGCCAACGGATCCGCCATCGCTGAGTACTGGGGCAAGGGCAAGTGGATCTTCAAGTACGCTCGCGGCACATTCCAGCACTACGAGAATATCATCCTGCGACACATGGAGGCCATGCTCAGCCGCACTTCTGAGAGTCGTGTGCAGTGGTTCGAGGGCATTGGCTGGGCTGTTTGCGGTGGAAGTCTCGCTGGCCTCTGTATCATCTTCACCAAGGCCGTCGTCAAGATCACCTGGCTTCCTGGACACCCGGTGAGTTTCAGCTACCATACTCCTATTTGAAGCTGACGACCAGCTCCTCCACTTCGTCTCCATAATCACAATCCTGTTCCTCATCATCACGGCTGTCTCGCAGATTGTCTGTCTGAACAGAGCCCTCGTGTGCGCCGACACGGTGACGGTTGTCCCGCTCTTCTACGCCGGCTACACCGTGTTCGGTGCTATCAACGCCCTGATCTTCTACGACCAGACAGGCGCGTACGCGACGTGGACGCTCGTCTGCGTCTTCCTCTCCATTGCAGTGCTCATCAGCGGAGTGGTGAGTTTTTTGCCTTGCATCTGAAACTGACATCCAGGTGCTCCTGTCCACGAAGCGTACTGACGATGACCAAGCCGCCCAAGGGCCGCAAACAACGACGACCGTCGACGCAGACCCCGCCGTGCGGTTGCACCCGCGCCAGCCTACCGATGGCGGTGAGAATGGCGGCGTGCTCTGGACAGTCGGCGAGGATGAGGACGAGAGCGACGACGAGGACAAGAAGGACGGCCCTGGTGTTGGAGGCACTAACACCGAGGGCGAGCGCGGTGGCCTGCTCCTTGTCCACGACGAGGATGAGCGCCTGCACAGCCCCGCGCGGCGAGCATCTAGGCGATTGGAGGACGAGGAGGAGGCAGAGTTCGGGCCGTTCGCGTCGCCGATGCGTTCTCCCCGTTCTCTGCAATGAACGGTTCCACGAGCCCGCATCAAACATCTTACACTACAACCATATAATAACAAACCCAATACGACCACACGACTCTTGTGACCCAGAGCCGCACCGCACATAGCCATAGATAGAGTGCATTTGTCATGTTGTATGAAGTGAGAGAATGGTGCAACACGATAATCGAGGATGCCAAGATGCTGCTAGAGAGGAGAGGGGGGTATGCTACGTTGGGGTGTTAGATTAAGCCTGGGTGGGGGTGGTCTCGATGGACTGGACCTCCTCCGGGGCCTCGAGGCCGTAAGCCTCGTTGACGGCGTCGAACCATCCGGGGCCGGCGAGGTCCTCAATGGCGCCGCGCTCAATGACGACCCAAGAGTACTTGAGGACGTCGTAGACGAGGAGGTCGTCGGTCGAGAGAACCTCGATGCCGGGGACGTTGCGGGTGACGCGCCAGAGGTTGGCGACGCCCTCGGCCTCGCGCATGGGCGAGTGGACGAAGAGGATGTTCAGGCCGTCCTTGGGTCCGAAGCGCTTCGTGGCTGATGTCAGTTAATGTTGTCGATTACGAAACTCACTGGCATCGTCGGCGAGAGCCTTGACAGCCTCGTACGTGCCGGGCCAGTTGCCCTCCGCGACATCCTCAACAACACGGAGGAAGCCGTCGTTCAGCTTGGCGCTGAGCGCGGTGCGCAGGCCAAGAGCGCGGACCTTGCGGGGAAGGTCCTGCGACCAGTCACGGGGCTTCAGCTCAAAGATCGGCGCTCCTCCACGACCTGCATGTCAGCTCATTCGCGGCCCTTCGGGTAGCTAAGACATACGGGTACCACTGCTTGCGTCTCCAACACGGGCCTTTCCGGATCCCTTCTGCTGCCTGAGTTTCCGTCCGGAATAAGCGACCGTCGAACGGTTCTTCGTGCTCTGGTTACCCTTACGGAGGTTCGCAAGGTACCAGACGACATTGCGGTGGAGGATGTCGCGTCGGAGGGGAAGGTTGAAGACGTGGGAGGGGAGGGGGAGGGTCTCGCCGCTGCCCTCGGTCGGGTTCGCAGAGGTGAGGGACGAGACGGGGTGCTCAATAGGCGAGTAGAAGTCGGTAGGGACCTCGTGGAGGCGGACTACAGTTAGCGATGGGTAGGGCAATGACTTCGCGTGACAAAGCCGCAAAGACGCCTCGATCATAGCCGCCGATCACAACAGCAGAGTGTGCGCCTGTTGTTCTTCGATGCCATTGAGCAATCTTTGACGGCGACCTGCTCTGAGACGCCAAGGCTATTATACTTACCACCACGAGAGGCAACAATCTGCCTGGGAGTCGGCCGCGATCCGAGGTCGACGAACGAGACGTTCGCAGGAAGGTGAGCGGTGAGGTCGTTTGCGGCGGCGATGTCCTCGGCATGAGCGGCGGGCTGCTTCTCCGAAGACTCGGGGGCCGGGGGGACCTCAGTCGCGAAAGCGCGAGCCGCTACTCGTGACGATCCGACAAGCGGAGTAAGGATCGGGCGGCGGAGAGCCTGCGGAACATTAGCACACCTCGGACTTCGAAATAACCGCGCGCATGCAGTCGATTTTGGCGCTGGAAAAAAGAAGCAGCATAGCCGCAGCTGCACCAATCCTCCTCAGTACGCGTTTACTTACCTGGAGACACCTGGCGGCCTGCATGACGGTTCGGCTTGCTGGTGATAGGTCCTTGAACCGACTTCCGGAAGTCAAAGAGACTGAACTTTCCACTCCCTCACGGAGCCACGGAATCAAATCCGACCGTCTCCGGTGGAGGTCAGTCACTACGGTGGAGGAGCTCAACTATTCAGCACAAGTTCACGTACTCACTTCATGCATGGATGCTTTGCTGGTTGTCAATGTACATGCGGAAAAGGGCAGCGATGCGTTCAGATGCCCTTAACTTTATCTAACACAGTTGCTGCACCGCGACTGAAGAGAGAGAAGTCCCCTGTGACTTTGTAGCTCGCCGCCTCCTAACTCTGATCCCTAACTCTTGCACTTTGCGAGACGTAGAGATTCGGCGCTCACCTGGACAGTTGCGTCCTCATGGTAGCATGTTTTGCGATGCTGACTTCCGGGACTACTTTTCAGGCTTTACAAGAGCGGGGAAAAGCATCCAAGTATCACTGTATGAGCGCAGAGTTCCAGGAGAGTGTGCGGAGCAATGCACGCAATACCAAGTGGCCTCCAACCTGTTTGGCGGTTGTAGCTACATCGCTTCCTCGCCTAGCCCTGGCAACTCGTGCTTGCAGCCTGCCAGTAGGCCAGCAGGCAGTAGGTGGCTGGCCGTAGGGTTAACGAACAAGGCAACGAGGAAAGATCAGTGACCGTGGTGTGCAGAGCCTTCTCAACCGGACGTCGTCCCGACTCGAGCACGTGGCCAAAGGAGTAAAGGTGATTGTAGCCAGACATACACTCAGTTACAAAGTTGTACAGTGAAGACGCATCATGCATGCATGGATGCGAACAATCAAGTTGGAAAAAGGCATGAAAAAACGGAGGTGTGCAGCGCGAGTCCCGCGAGTGTCGGCGATATGCCACGTGGCAAGTGCCACGCACCCTTTTCGATTTCTGCTCGCGTATCGCCGACAGCCCAGAGTTCGCAGGTCGGTGGGTGTGGGTTGAACATGGCGAACGGGCAGCTTTGGTCGTCTCTCCACCGCAAGATCGTGAGTAGCGAGCTGCTGAGCTGCCCGACCACTGTGCTGACCATCGCGCTCTCGACGTCGACACCGCTACGCCCGTTTACGCTCTGCTGTTACCCGCTTTCCCCGACCGAATCGATTGGATCGTTGTCCTGCTCTCGAAACTTGAACGGCGAAATTCGGATCTTGTGCAACTTTTGCTGGAACCGATTGTTGAACTTGGAATTGGACGCTGGATCTTCACGGTTTGCGAATATTTACGGTCTCCTTTGCTTCATTGCTCTTTCTCTCGACTCGTGCGCACTCTCAACTACAGAAAAATGTCGGCCGTCCAGACCTTCGGCAAGAAGAAGGTGCGTCATTTTGGGAATGAACCATCAGACGAAGGAATCTGTTGCTGACGCTGCTTCTTATCTCTGCGCGATCGCCGCCTCTCGAAACGCTCAATTCTCTCGCAATCAACTTGTGCTGGATATTTGGAACACGAATTGCTGGAACTTGCTGCAACTCCACACTCGCAACTTTTCACGACATCGCTTCTGATCCTTGCACCGTCGATTCTTCACCAACAGACTGCTACCGCAGTGGCCCACGTCACCCCCGGCCGCGGCCAGGTCCGCCTTAACGGCTCCCCCATCTCGCTCGTCGAGCCGTGAGTGTCCAACAGGACGCGAAGGGAAGAGGATTACGGATGCTGGATTGGGTACCAGGCGCGCGGAGAGCAACGGAGAGATTGGCGTCAAGTTGTCCATCCGAGCTCATCATGTGGAGCGACCTCCTGCTCTCCGTCGCTTGGCTTGTGCGGTCCGCCAGACGTTTCCTGGATATCTTCGCATCTCAGTTGCCGGAAGGAAAGCTGACCAGAACAGTTCCACCCTCCGTTACAAGGTCTACGAGCCCATCCTTGTCGTCGGTTCTGACAAGTTCGCCAACATCGACGTCCGTCTCCGCGTCAAGGGTGGTGGCCACGTCTCGCAGCTCTACGCCATCCGCCAGGCTATCGCCAAGGGACTCGTCGCTTTCTACGCCAAGAACGAGGACGCCGCTTCCGCTCTTGAGCTGAAGAAGACCTACATTGCCTACGACCGTACCCTCCTGGTCGCCGACCCCCGTCGCTGCGAGCCCAAGAAGTTCGGTGGTCGTGGTGCCCGTGCTCGTCGCCAGAAGTCTTACCGTTAAACACCTCGCTTTGGTCTCGGTCGGTCGCCGAGACAATGGCTGCTTGTTGGACTTGGTTTGCAGAGGTCGCTACCAAGTTCCAGTGGGCAGTTGGTGTTCGTTAGCATTGGGATATGTATATCATGACCTTGCCTCCGGAACATTCTCTCGCACAGGTCACTAACCCCTTTCGTTCTGCCGTTTCCCGCGTGTTGCCCCCGGCATTGATGCAGCCCTACGCAATACATGATCTGCGGAAGAGATATTAGCAGCTGTCAATAAGCAGCTGTAAGCAGGAAAAGGCCGATAGTGTGATACTAGAGCGACCGAGCTCGCGTTTCCGCGCCGCTGGCCATTTCGCCTGACCCAACAACGCAAGGCAGTGGAGGACTTCACTCAAATCTAATGTGGCTCGTAGGCCCGGTGCCCAAAGAAGCAGCGTTTGCAAGGAGGGTTCCATAGCGAGGTGCAGTGTTTCCCACGTCCTCTCGCGCTGCCTGCCCGCAGTTGCCACTGCGCCTGATTAACAAGTATGGGCACATGCGCATTGTCTATCTCTGGGTGGATGATTTTTATCCTCGGCCCAGGGAACGACGGAATCGAGAGAGCCAGGAACCGCAGGTAGTAAACCATTGTCTGCAGAAGACCCTGTGTTCATCCGCACTTGTCCTATCCATGCAATCTCCATCTCTGTCCATCATATGTGTTGGCATTGCACCTTTTGTCTGTTCATCACTCGCCGCGCTTGATACAAATACCGCAGAGGCAACTACGGGTCGCCTTAGTCGTCACTCAAAATCCCAGACAAGACATCGCATCAGTGGAGAGCGGAGATCGGTCGAGATTCCGTCGCCCGTTCCTGTAGAACGACTGACCATACGACGAGACAAACAACGATCCAATCGATATCCCTCCCATCCCCCACCAAAGCTATCCTCCGCATCCACCCTCGCATCCGCTTCGGCGTACTCGAGCACGATTCCACCGCTCCGAGGCTTGAAGGTCAACCGATCTCCTCCCACCACGCCGTATCCTCCGATCGAGGTTCCCGTCGACCGCTTCCTCGGACCATTCGCAGGGCACTTTACATTCGCCCAGTGCTTTCGTGAAGGGAACGACATGCCGCCGAGGCGGTCTTCTGCGACTCCTCGCTCAAAGCGAGCCTCGCAGCAAGAGTGAGTAAAGGCGGTGGACACCGTGGGCATGCCTCACGCATAATAGTCACGTCTCAATAGGCAAGAGATGAGAGCGATGCTGACACGGCGATGTTGTTTCACATGTTCATGTTCGCTTGAAACCTTCTTTATTATCTATCTCGCTTCATTACTCGCCACTGCCGAACTATTAATGCGACAGCGCGAGCATCCTCGGACTCAGCAACACGAGTGTCAAGTGAGTTCGGAACGGATTGGGCAATGTTGTGGCTTGCACACGAGCCACCGACGTCGAGGAGCTAGCCGACGCACATACACCGGACACGTCCTGGACGCTGTGACAGTGGAAAAGCGGGGCTCGTTGGCTGCCCAGACTGCAAATCGCTCTCGTACTCCATGGCTAACCTCAGCAGCGTTGCCGCCGCCTTCACCGCCGCCCAGAACGGAAACGCAACTCCCAAAGCTGTCTCCCACCGCGCTCTCTCGCCCATGCCCGAACCGAGCCGGGCACTGTCACCTCCTGAGCGCATTCTTCACGACAACAGAGCTTTATCGCCTGTAACCTACCACTTACATCCGCCTCCCGAGGACCTCGACCTCTTAAACGCCTCCGGTGACTACTCCTCCTTTTCGTCCTTAGGCAATTCGTCGGGCGACTACAGCTACGCAAAGGAGGACATGTTGGTCAACCAACAGAGGAGCGCGACCTCTCGCCGGCAACCTAGGAGAAACAAGGCCCTCGAAGATGAAATGGCCTACCGACCGGCGGAGGACGAGGGCGTTGCTTCCGACTCCTCGGGCGCGGGCGGCGAAGGCGTAGTTCGTTCTGGAGCTCTGGACGGGCGGTCTGCGACTCGAGGAAAGCGCAAGACGAAGGGAGAAGGGTACCTGGGTGATGGCTTAGGTATTCGACCGACCATGACCCGGCCAACAGTCCGAAGGGGGACCCGTCGTGAGCTTGACATCACCGAGGAAGAGCAGTCCATCAACATGTCTCACTCGCCATCGGTCATGTCACGACGCTCACAACGCCTTTCTGTTTCTCCCGCGCCAATTAATCACCCTTTTACCTCTCCAGGAGTCGCTTATCAGGACCCCCAGATGGGCCGCGCTTCCCGAGGGCCCAGCGCCGGACGAACGGCGGCGACAAATGTGACTGGGCGGGTAGCTGGAAGCCTCGCCTACCTTGTCAAGCTCGGCTCCTCGTTCATCCTGTTCATCGTGAACTTGCCCAGGAACCTGATGCGCAAGGCCCGCCGGGGAGGAAACGGCGCCCTCGCTGTTGCAGGACTTGTGCTCTGTGTTGGCTTACTGCTCGCCGCCCGAGAGCTTTCGGGCAACCTGTTCAAGTCCACATACCGATCGCCGGTCGCGCCCCCTTCCAACATCGATGAGCTCATCGCGCGTCTCACGTCACTGGAGACCGCTCTCGCCCGCGCGTCCTCAACCGCTTCCGAAGATCTCACAGCTGCTCAGGAGGCGCAGCGTGTGCTTATGAAGCGCATTCACGAGCTCGAAGCTCGACAACACCAGGAGGATGCGAACGGAATGGAGACCCGGGCAGGAGTAGTGGATGTACAGGACTCTGTCAAGCAACTCAAGGTTGAGGTTAACGAGCTCCAATCTCGAGTCAGCAAGCATGATCAGAAATTCGCGAATGTCGACTCTGAGATCGAGGCAGTGAAGGGCAAGATCGCCACTGTGGAGGAGGAAGTCCGTCGCCAGCTTTCCGAAGGACACCTCCGCGACATCATGCTCCACATCATGCCTGCCAAAACTCCAATGGTCGATGGAAACATCCCTCCGTCAGTCTGGGCTGCTCTGAAGAAGGTGTTCGTTGGGTCCGACGCCGTTGACGAGAAGATCCGCAAGCACCTTGCTGGCATTCAGTCCCCGGATTCGAAGTGGGCCCTTGAGCATCACCAGGAGGAACTCAACAAGTGGCTGCTCAAGGCTGGTCACTCGCTTGGGTACGACAAGGCCGCCATCATTAACGGCATCGAAGGTGAGGTCCACGCTCTGCAGAAGGAGCTTCAGGAGATCCGCCGCGATGCCCGCAATGTCAACTCCGGAAAGCCGGTCGCACAGCCCGCTGTCACGTTCAAGTCGTCAAAGGGCGAGGACGTTACACAGGCTCTGCACGCCATTGTCGACGCTGCCCTGCTCAAGTACTCCAAGGACATGCTGGCAATGGCCGACTACGCTCTTCTTAGTGCCGGAGCTCGTGTAATTCCAGCGGGAACGTCTGAGACCCTGGTTCTGAAGCGGCCCTCCGTCGTCGGCAAGGTTCTTCGTGGCGACCGAGCCATTACCGGCCGACCTCCGACGACTGCTCTCGAAACGGATACAGCTGTAGGTTCTTGCTGGCCCTTCGAAGGCAGCACTGGTACGCTCGGCATCAGCCTTGCCCGCCCTGTCAATGTCAAGGCGGTCACTGTCGAGCATGCCGCGAAGGAGCTGGCACTCGATGTGAGCTCGGCCCCCCGAGACGTCGAAGTGGTGAGTTTTGCTTGTTTGGGCCGTGAACTAACCAACAGTGGGCTTCCGTCGAAGGCGAAGAGAACCAAGACAAAGTCAAACGATGGTTTGAGCAGCGAGAGGCTGATGGTTGGGTCGAGGAGTAAGTGCAGAGCCTTCGTTGGCAGATAATGTCTAGAGCTGATGCTAACAAACAGTGAGGGCGCTGCGTTCAAGGAGACGCCAGACCGCATTCGCCTTTCCCGCTTTACTTACGACCCCATGGGACCGTCGCCCGTCCAGACCTTCCCAGTGGTTCCCGAGATCATCAAGATGGGCATCCCTGTCTCTGATGTTGTGTTTGCCTTCAACTCGAATTGGGGCGGCAACCTGACGTGTATCTATAGGGTGAGTACTGATATCTTGGAGCAGCGGCGTGCTCCACGCAGGCGACAGTGTTGGTCGTCGCTAACGAACAGGTGCGAGTGCATGGAGAACCCGTCGCTTAAACCGCGATAGAACAAGAAAACGCGTTGGCTTTCATGACGCGTCGCAGAGGATGGCATAGCTCTGGGGACGAGCGTGTACCTTGTGGGCCTTAGAGAAGATGAAGGCATCCTATCATGTTGTTGGTTGTTGGCCTTGCTTGGATCGATCATAATCATGTGCATTAGATGGCGTCGGTGGTGTACGAGTGTCTACGCTTTCATTCACACTTCTTAGTTGGATTCTATATTCCTTCCTTTCTCTCCATATCAATGCCGTTCTATCTACCACGAACGTATATGCAATTACGACTTGCCAGAGCATCCCAAGATCGGTCTCTTGGCTAGCTGGATGAGGAAGCGAGCAGTGACCTCAGTGGACAAGTCCTCCAACCCGGATGGTGGTTCATCAGTTTTGGGTTTCCGAGATACTTACGTACTGTTGACGTTAACACACGTCCGTAGCGTGATATAGTGTGAACAGGCTAGGAATCAAGATGGACCGTGACAAGATTAAGGAGCAGAGTGTTCCTTTCGTTCTCGTGATAGCGTGATGAATTGCCGTTGGACTTTCGTGATCATTTCAATGCTGGGACGTCCCTTGATCCTTACTGAGGATGAATGTGTTGCAGACCTAAGACGTGAGAGCACCCCACCCAAAGAAGCTGAACGAGGTGGGTCCAACGGGGTTCAGTGGGTCGAGGGATTACTACCGAAAAGTATGTCCGAAACAAGCTCTGCAGGCTGAAGGCGCAGAGAGGGAAGCAGCACTGAGCACCGGGAGGTCTCTTGAGGACGGGAGCGAGTCCTTACGTACAACATCCAAGACACTCCAGGACGGGTCGGACCCATTCAGACGCGACAAATTACAGCATGCCATCCCCCGCATGCCCACCGTATGGGACACCTGAACGTCAAGCTGCTCGGAGCTCGGCCCGAGTCCTCGACCGGCAGCTCGGCACGCCGCAGAGGACAATCCCATCACACATGCGTTTGCACAACTGCTCAGCGGTGGGTCAAAGGTGGACCCGGCGTGGTCGAATCACCGTCCACGCTGGTGAATGGGGGATGATCGTCGGCTTCAACAGTTTTGCAGCGCGGGGTGGCAGCACAGGGTGGCGGATCTCTGATCACTGAGTAGGTTGTGATACAGATGAAAGTCGGGCCTGCATTGTGTTAGACGGATTGCATTCAGTAGTTCTCGGAGGCAGACGGAGATGGGGCGGCTGTGAGACGAACGCCGGAGTCAAGTGGTGTAGGCCGGGGCATCTTGGTAGACCCCGCGGGTGTTAGGAGAATTATGCAAAACTACGCTTGGCCCAAGTCGCACTCTAGGGCACCCTGTCGTCCGGTGTATGCCTGTTAAGCTTGCCAAACTAGCACATGTAGGACATTGTGGCAGCTGCCCAGTCCCTCACGACGACTTTCAATCGATTGTTTGGGAATTCAGCACAAGCGCCTCATGACAAGCTTGATGTCAATGCTTCTGTCCCTCTTGGCAATGCAGAATGAGACAACACCCACTTCAGAGGCAGCGGAAGCTCTTGATGTGCGTATCAACTCGATGGTAGACACGCAGAGATACTTTGCACACAGTGACAGACTTACGACGACTGATGACGGCCACCTACGATGCCCCGGGTCACTGCGCCTTGTTCCAGTTAAGCTTATAGAAGCGGTTCTCACGAGATCGTCGCCCATGTCGGCATGGTCAGTACCGGGGAATGTGAACCAAGTATGCGCGATGCAGTGTAACCGTACCAAGGGGTCTTACGAGACGTGCGATGCTGGAACCTCCTTCCCGTCTTGCAACAGCAGGTGGAGAGCAGAGCGCTCCAACGATGCCACGAAACTTAGTTACGTTGCACTGACCAAGTGTGCACAGATCAGACCGGGACGATTTCGAGAAGAGAACAGGGGTAAACCGAGGACTAATCCTGGAAACCCCGCTCAAGCAAGTCGGCATAACGTTACATTGAGACATTGAGACCCACACAGCAAGATGGTGAACCTTGTCGTTACACTCTGGAACAAGGCTCCGGCCCCTTATCCTGGGTTTTCTTGTGTGGTATCTGCCTCGCAACCTCTGGAGTCCCCAGATACCCACCGGAACGCTCGGAACTTGGGTGACATGCCGAGATGTCCCAGTCACAAGGACTTATGCTATCTTGACACGGACGTGGATACCCACAGAGGAGGACGACGATCATCCAGAGCTTCTTCTTCCACTTTGGGCATGGCCAGGGGGCCCGTGTGCGCCTGTTCGCCATCTTGTCTGTTCCTCTTCTCCACATGGTGCAGGCGCTCGTATCGCTTCAGTCACACCTGCAGGCACGGAAACTGCAACCATTCATTGTGCCCGAGGATCCTTCTGTCCCTCTCTGCCCTTCCTTCCTTTCTCCCTATCAGCGCTTCGCATCTCGGTTATCGCTGTTGCCCACCCCCAAACGTTGCAAGCTAGTTGGATGCTTTGAGTGGAGCGTCGCTGGAGTAACTGATGAATCCAGGTCAATTATGGCTTGATGTCTTCCACGGCAGCCAGGGTGAGCACAGTGAACCCGCCAGGGTAGGCCGAAGCCACCCCATCCGCCTGAGCCGTCGTTGCTCGAGCTGAGGCCCCGAAATGCACTTTTGATAGCGTATGAAACTACTGAAACACACGCCCAGTCACAGGTCGAGTCTTTGCAGTGGCGCTGCAGGGCGCTGGTGGCGGCCTTGGCTGAGCGCCATCGTCCTCCCGAGGCCCGAGAGGGGCCCTCGCCTGACGGTGATCCACACAGCCACTTGATCATCGCCGGCCCTAACTGCGCCTTTCGATGTCTAAGGTGCTTGGGAAGCTTAACAAAGCTTAACCTTGCACTCTGAGGGCAGCGATCTAACGGTCTAGAGCCCCGCGACACCCTTACGTTTGAAGCGTTCTGAGTGGTTTCCCGGATACTGGTATTTCCATCAGCGAATTCTGCATCTTCTGTGAGCCAATGCCAGGTTTGAGAGAGATTTGAGGGTGCAGTGATTCGAGCTACCGCTCAGACAAGGGACGGGCTTTGGAGGTGACACTGCTGCGACGTGGTGGGAGTGCCTCCCGTTCTTTCCCTTACCTGCGCTCAAAGAAGAGTTATATGCTGAGACAGCGCACGTGAAGCGTCCCGACAGCCGCATGAGTGCTGATCTCTCCGTAGGAAACGTCCGTGGGGATGTCCACAGACAGAGGCTCTCTCAAAGGGTCGCGGAACATTCTCACAGACGGGAAAAGAGGCAAGGGTGCACCTCGCGCTGCACGGAGCACGCGGTGACGGAGTACGTAGCTGTTGTTGCGAGCATGGGGCACGTCCAATACCTTGTGGGGACGAGACGTCGGGGAGCGGCAGGACTGCTGCGATGTGACAGGAATGTCGGGATGGAAAGGCCGTAGCACCCCAGGGGCGCGCGATTATCTCTGACAGGCACGTCAGGTGTCAGCGGGCATCGGAAGTTCGACCGCCGCCAGTGCACCGTTCAATTCTTAAAACGGGCTAAGATCTCGCAAGCAATGACATAACATTTGGATCCGGGCCTCCAAAGATATGACGGAGCTCTGGCGGCGCAGCTTGAGGAACGAGGCACATTTGGTGACCCATACGCAAGCTCACGCACATCAAAGATTTCACCCCCGGATGTGCCGTACGCAAGCCAGCTTCCCAGTCATGGCAATTCATGAAGGCTAGCTTCTGCTCGGTTGCAATTGTTAATTGCAGAGAAAGCCATCAAGGTTAACCACCGCTGAGGAATGAGAAAATGCAGAGATTTTCCAGTTATTCCGAAACTATGACCCGCTCGTCGTGGGCTTGGGAAACAACGGGTCCATGCGTCATGCGGACTGAATACTTCGGGCGGGAGAACCTAGTGTTCAATATGCACTTCGTGTTGTCCAACGAGCAGCCGGAAGGGTTTCTAGTCCGCAGTGGCCCCCGCCGAGGAGAGCCTTGTAATTACTGAATAGCGCCGCTCTTCTCGGCTCTCGGCGCCTTCATGCTGTCACGCATTCCGGCACCGGCCCAGGTGGTCAACGCTACGTCGGCCTCTCCATCGGTCGCTAGACTTGACTAGGTTTGATCACTGGTATCAAACTGGTAAATTCTCACACAATCAATCGCGATTAGCAGCGCGCGCTTACGAGTATATTCGCGCCAAGCCGCACTTGTCACACAGTATAACGTACATATCACTCTTGAGGTCGATGTCGCTTACGAACGGACGGAATGGCCGTATTGGTGCGACAGGCTGAGCACAATAACTGTGCCTCTGATGCCGCTACGGCAGCCCAAAAGCTCCAACCTCGTAATGAAACGAACACACAGGTCCTCCGGCCGGTAGCGCCGCTTGGTGATCTGTCGGTTGCAAGCTAAGTACAACCGAAGAGTCGGACCATCGTTGACCAGAGCCAGTCAATGCGTGCTTGCCGAGGTTGGCGGCGGCGTGATCGCACGATCGCGGTCTCAGCTTCATTCTCACTCTCTGTCATGATACCTGGCGGACATGGGTGTCCATGATAGCCGCAAGTACCACGAACTCCGCCAAGCAATTGTTTGCGATTGAAAATTGATCATATGGACCCAATGGACGAAGCCTGATGGACGGACAGGGAGGAATTCAGACAAACATCAGGACGTCAGGATGCAAGCTCAGGATGTTGGTCAGGAGGCATAGAGCGCCTTTAGCGTAAAAGACCGTGTCGGGCAGGTTCTGGCTGTCCTGACCGTCCTGAGTGCTTCAACTCGCCAGCTTCAATGGCCGACATGTAGAGCGCGCGACAGCTCGCCAGGCTGCCAGGGGCATTCAATCATGGAGTGAAGACGGATTATGACGCCTGTGAGGATCCGCGAGGTGGTGGCGCGAGGGGTGCTGGTTAGTCTCGGACCCTCGGACGTCCAAAGTACCGATGGCATTTCCTGTTGGCCGCGCCTTGGTGCGCTCGGTGCTCAGAGCAGTGGGTTTGGCACCATATTGCCGCTGGCACGGTCTAGAGATAGCGAACTTTGATCACTTGGTTGTTCCGTCCCAAGCGTACGCACCATGTGCTGCACCGCTCTCAGACACTGCGAGATCTTTCCGTGTGCCACTACCACCATTGCCACCACGACCGGCCGACACACACACACACAGGGAGACACCAAAGGTTGATCAGCGGAGTGCAGCTTCCGCCTGGTTCTGTACCGAGGCACAAAGCGGCCGCATTGACTTCCCCTTTCATCCCATAGCGTCAGGGCCAGGCTGGTCCGACAACGTTTCAAACCCGAATGTGCGCAGCACTAGTGCCAGAGGGTCCGCTCCTCTAACTGGGGCGCAAGCAATTGTTCGTAGTTTTCTGCTTATTGCTGAACACACTGTTGCAACGCAATGACGATTGTGTGACCTATGATTATAGATGCATGCCCTGTATTACTTGTATGCCCACAACTGCACAACTGCTAGTGTCCTATTGTTCTGATGCTAGACTTCGGAGAGAGATGAAAAGGAAACGAGAGAGAAACATATAATCGAAGCGTTTTGAAGAGCTGACGTTGGCAAGGCTTTGGGCCCTCAGTAGCCGTACCAGTGTCTTCGAACGAACAAGATAATTGAAACATATATTCGATTGGGTAGTGTTGACAATCCAAGTCGCGTGGTCGCGCACTTTTGCTGGGTATCAAATTGTCCTTTCGTTGTTGCGAATGAAGAAATATCCATCGAGGAAGCGAGCGCTGCGTACGCACCTCCCTCGTTATGTCGATGACGATGCGAATGCGAGGAAACGGCTTGTTTATTAGAGGACTCAAAAGCGCGAGAGACGACCTACTCCCCAAGGGAAGCAGTGCGCTCAATACACTCATGCAGCGGCGCTATACCACTGCTGTGTTTGTTGAGGCTCCTCAGAAACAAGGTGCTGAGCATACACAGGTCCAGAGGATGGCTGCATGTTCAGTGTCGGGGAGAAGGTTGCAGCGCCGGGCGAAATGGGAGTGTACGGGTACTCGCCACCATTGGTGTCGGCCGACTCGGGAGTGTAGCTATAGGCGGGGGATCGCTGAGGGTCGGAAAAAAGCTCAGCATCCCGCCTGGAGTACTGTCCTGGGACTGCAAGATACTCAGCCGTCGGAGTGGGAAGGCTGGGAACGGCGCTGTTGGGCATCGAGACGGTGCCGTTGGCGTCAACGACATTCGTCTGAACGCTGAGGGTCTGGACGTCGTTCGTCGAGTACGTCTTAGACGGGGGAGGTGGAACCGAAGCAATGGGGCCATTGTCGGGCATGCTGTGGCGGCGCACGACCTTGACGGGGTCCGTGGTGAGAAGCGGCTTCGGGCCAGTGGCAGCAGTTGCGCTGGCAGGCATCGCGGTGCCAGCGGCAGCAGCGGAAGCACTGACTACCCGAGGGCTGGCTTCGCCACGGGCGATGGCGGCGGCGATGAGCTGGGAAGCCGGCTTGTTGTTTGGGCCGCGCTGGCGGACTTGCTGCGAGAACTCGCAGACGAATCCCCTCTTCTGGCAACGGTTGCAGGGGTTACCACCGAAGCACTGAACGTCAGCCGAATATTCGATGGACTCAAAGTGGGAACGCCAAAGGGCGGCGTTGTCTCAGCCACACCTCCGCGGGTTGATGATCAGGATCGACCAAGCCCCCACAACTGTGCACGACGCCACCGCGAGTCTCACTCACCCTTGCTTTGCGGATGCGGCAGCGCTCACATGCCTGCGCAGTTCGAGAGCGCTTCTTGATCTCCGGCGCGGGCTGCCCGTCGGCTCCGATGATAACGGGCTTGACGCCAAGACCGATGTCCATGCCGAATTGGTCTCGGCGGTAGAGACCGGGCGTTCCGACGTATCCATAGCCCATCTCCATTCCCGGCTGCGAGTGAGCAGAGAGGGGAGTAGCTAGGTACTCAGTTCCTCCACAGTCCGAGGGCATCATCGGTGAAGGAGCGTAGGAGAAGCCACCGTCGGAGGGGAGGGGCGATAAGGAGAGAGCGTTCATGCCCCACGGCGTATGGGGGGCACTGCCAGGCATAGGGGAGTAGTTGCCGTTGGCGATGAGGGGGGAGCCGAACTGAGCGGGAGTGGTGGTAGGGGGGGTGACCAAGCCAAACTGCATGTCCTGGTGCTGGAAGTGTCCACTCTGAGGTGTGTTGTAAGAGTAGGCGTACCCCGCGCCGGCGTTAGCCTGGGCTGTGTTCAGGCGGTACATGTTACGCGGGGGCTGCTGGTTCGGGTTCGACAGCGGAACAGCGTACGGAGCGGAGGGGTATGGTTGGGCCATGTTGCTGTCCTGAATGGTGTGGTTGAGACAGAAGGAGAGGTCGGAACCAGAGTAGAGCAGAGTTGATGAAAGAGGTCGGGTGTCGAGCGGTAGAGACGGGGGAGGGGAACAGAGAGGGCGGAGAGTAAACTTAACGGAAGAAGTGAGGTTGAAGGAGCAGTTGTGCGGTCGCCAGCTAGTGTTGTTGTACAGTTGTTGGCCAAGTCAAGACAGGACGCAGCTGAGAACAACTCAACAGGTCGAAGATGTAGGATGGGGGTCTCAACACACCTAGTCTCGAGTGTCCTATATGTGTGCTGCACTATTCGTCTCGACGTCCCCGAAGAGATACAGCAACTCGATGGACCAGATTGACGGACAACGCATACGACCCGAGTGCAGGCTTTACGCTTGAGCATAACGCTGGGATTTAGCCTAATGGGCGTTTCCTGAAGCGACAGGTTAAGCACCTGAACCCGGGCACGGCAAGCGTTCCCCCAGTAGGACTGTCTCTAACACTCGCATGCTACAACACCCCAGGCCGTGTCGCGTTGGTCTCTTGCTTGGGCGTACCAGGCCTAGAGTACCGCATCGGCAGTAGATACGTTTGATGAAAGCACTGGTCAGGTCGTTCAGGTCGAGTTCAGGTCCTTTGCTCTTCGTAGAGGACCCTGAGGTACGCGATGCCGTCAGAGGCGGTCTCAATCAGCACTGTGAGAGAGGTGAGAGGTCAGGGGTAGAAGGGATGTCTCCCTCAAAGGCACGACAGGTGCAGGCATGCAGGGTGCGTCAGGCAACTGCGTTCTGAGCCTTCTAAGGAAAAAGCAGTCCCGTGGTTGTGTCTTGCAGAATGTTTGCCAGAACGCTGACCTGACCGAGAGTGACGCCACGGTACCCAGGAACAGAGGGTCTGAAGGGGAGTACGTGAGTCCAACCAAGCCTCACGGCCAAGAGGTCAGTCGCCATTCCTCTGCTCCCTTGCGTACGGCTGCTCTTGACCGCGCCTGACGTCGATGGTTTGCGCGAGGTCCCATCCTGTCCATGATGCTCCCCTCGAGTCTCAGGCGCGTGTTCGGGCCAATCGCATGATCGCATCCCTGGTGCCCACTAGCTCGTCAAGGTAGCCCACGTTGATCTCCTTCGCTTTTGGCTCTCGTCCCAGGACCTTTCGAGTTGTGGGGGTCCATCTCGAAGCCACAGTCCAGCCTGACAACTAACAGGCTTGGTTCCATCGCAGAGGTCGAGGTATGGGTTCATATGATTCTGAGCTCGAGCCTGACGGAGCGCATCTTCTCGACAACCGACTACCCCACAGGCTATCGGCGCCATAGTCACGCTGCTCCGTCCTGACCTTGATCGCTGCACCACATGACTACCCTATCAGTTTTGGTGTGGGCGCGCGGGCTGACGGGCAGCTCAACGCAATCATGAGTGCTTCCATTGATTTTCCCTCCCAGGCCTCTGGAGGATCTCCCGATTCAGCAATACGGCCATAATTCTACGGGACCCCACTTGGAAGGTATGGACTGCTGGACGCAGAGGACCCAGGGTCACTGCAAGGGGTGAATTGTTCAAACACTTAGCACTAGACTTCTCAGCCCTGCTGTCTCCTGATAGCCTTGGAGAGTGCAGGACGCGAGGACAGCCCAGGGTAACGTACGCGTTGTGGGCTTTCAAGCCCGTCCAAGCCGGCCGACCCGGTTGAGGTGAGAGGCCCTAGGTACCCTGCGCTCGCTTTTCATAGTGTAAATCTAGTGGCCATCAATGCCGTAATGCAAGTTGAATTCTTGTTACTTCAGGTACACCTTGTGTATGTCCATCCGGTCCGCTCGACCCGTAAAGCTCCCTCGTCGTTGGCCAGTACTACGAATCCTTTCATGGGCTCAACCAACACGGGCCACGGGCTGCTTGGGTTGCGGGAAGCTAAAGCGCGTCTTGACGTGGTTTCATCATTAAACCAAGGCGAGCAGAGGGAGATGCCGAATTTCATCACATGGTCCAATGGAGCGCTACTGACTGCGGGCATCCTGCACCTCCCCCATGTGAGCTCTGATGCGAATGGTGGCCAACCACTGCATTCACAGGCAGACGGACGAACGTTCAAATGATGATGCAGAAGTTTCTCGCACCCACTCGTGTCGCGTTAGTGGGACTTTGCGGGAAGGTGTGCAATGCAATGTGCGCTGGGCAAGCCGAATGATGGAGCCCGTGGCGTACTGGGTCAGATGAAGCAAAGATCAGCAGTTGAAATCGGCCTCGTAGTCACACGCTGCACGTCAAGCGCAAACACAAACGCCAACGGAAATGTGGGTCGGAGAAATCCTACTTGGCAGCTCACTAATCAAGGTTTGGTGGTCTCGGAGCCGTCGAATGCTTGCACTTCATTGAGCCTCAGGTGCCCGGAGAATCTCCCATTCACTCGACAGGCTCGAATTGGAGCGTTTAGCCTTCAGAAAGTCACAGCACTTTCTTACAGGAACACTCCCCAGGTCATCACAAGCCTACACTTGAAGAGCACTGACGCCACGGGTGCCTCCCGATGCAAATTGTGTCTTTTGCGCGCCGTGTAGCCAGCACGTCCATCACCCTCGGTTCCAATCCTTTGACCACGCTATTGGTTCGGACGCATCTGGGAGGGCAGTAAGGGCGTGACGAGGGAGAACATGCCTAAACCCTGTTTTGCTTCTACCCGAACTCTATGCCTGCGCGTAGCCAGTGCATGCGACATCAAGGCTGAAGAGGTACAGATCGGACTCTGACCTGCAGACCTTCGCCGTACCTTCTATCTCGGCTGACCCTGAACATCACGTTATGTCGCGCCTCACGTCGTACTTCCAAAGATCCTCAGGATAGGTAGTAACTGGGCTGTTATACTCGGGCTCTGCAAACGCCGCTTGGCGAGGAGTACGATGCGACCCAGGAACAGTGAGCTTTGCATGGATTTAGCAACAGCCATAACGCTCGCGTACGCTCGTGCACGTCCATTGATCTGTCGAGAGAATAACGACAAACCCAAAGATGGATTACGAGGATTACTACACCGCCTCTATTCACGTTTGAGTGACCGGCCGACTGGAGTGAGGCGAACCAGACTTACATCGACAACCCCGTGCTAACTGTGTGCTTCGGTTGTCTCAGACCTGTTGCAGGCACAGTTTCTGTTCAAGCGTGGTCCACGCATCATGGTACGGCACGGCGACCGATGTCCCCGTGGAGAAGATCTGCAAGAAGGCTGGTCAGCGGCGCCATGCTGCACCACGCTGCCGCCTACACGCGCAACCTAGCACCCTCAAACAAGCCTCTTGCCTTGCTTACTGTGGCGGAATCCAAAGCGACTTCGCATCACGGGAAGGCATTCTGTCAGTTACGTAGCCTGGTACAAGCACTTCTCAGGAGACATCTTGAAAGCGGAGCAAGGGGAGATCAAGAAACAGGGTGCTGTGAGGGGCCCAAGTGTGTCCCCACAACCCCAAGCGGGCTTGTTCGAGCGTTCCCTTCCGTCCTCTTCCCCCTGCACAACGGTTACGGCGGTTTCTGTGGAAAAACAGCCCCGAACGTTGAAGCTTTAAGCCTCGAGAGGAACTGCTTGTCGATCTGCGCTCGGTGCTACCGATGTCTCTCGGTAATGGGGACGGCCTGATGCACACAACACGATGAATTGCTGGACCAAGGGAATAGACTCAGAACCCTGACGACTTAAAACGTTGATAAAGAGTCTCCTTGTTCCAGACGGGGAGGTGTGTTAGGGTATGCACGTCCTCGCGAGCCGTAGTCCGTTGCTGAGCCGTGCACTCCGGATCTGCGATTGGGTCTCGCGTTCCGTGTAGAGCCGAAGTGTCTGTCGATGCTAAGACATCAATGCAAAGTGGGATTGCTAGTAGCGAGCGAGAATGGACCCAACGGATTGCACACGCGCCTCCAGTTCCTGTTCATGCGCCTGGCACTGCACGGGTCATCACCAGTTACAGCCGCGGGATTCAACATGAAACACGCTGATCTGCTGCGAATCAGGTGGCCTGTACTGTATGAAGACAAACAGCTGGTCGTCGTTCTGCGGCCGGACGGCCGTCGGAAGTGATCACGCAAAAGCTCCTCGGGTCGAGGTACGAGGCGGTCTGTTGCTCCGCTTGTCCAGTCGACGGAACGAACAACATGGCACCGCGTTTCTTCCTCTTCAAGGATTCCCATATCCGAGCTCAACGCTTCGACGAGCTTGAAGCAAGCAAAGGAAAACTTGTTTCTCGAGTCGGGGTGCGCTTAGGGGCAGGTTGGGTTGTTGTCACGAGCACACCGAGGTCTGGAAGCGCTCCAGGCAGGGACCTTGACGGCAAAGGTACGGGACATGCTCAGATTCGGTGTGGTTAAACGCAGTCCCGTACGAACTATAAAACTGCGTCGGGCGAGGTTAAGAATGAATATAAGCCTTTATCTGAAACCAGACTCACCCCAGACATACCACCAGGTCCAGCGAGGTCCAGCAGGTCCAGGGAGGCTTTAGTGACGTCTTTGTGAGGTCCGGCCAGCAGTGCGTGCTGCCAAGCCCAGTGAGGTCCGGGAGGACCTGGAGGGACATGACAGTCAGCGAAGCTTAAAAGCTTAGAAACGGTACCATCGCCACGCGAGGCGCGCTCTCCAGTCTCCGACTCGAGCGTCGTGCACGGCCAACGATCAGCGCGTTTGCCAATTAGGCATTTGCGACGCTCGCGACGCTGGCTATCCCAGTCCGTCTCGTCGCCATCGAAACTCCTTTCCTGAACGTCTCAACTATACCGAGATACCGGCGACCTTGTCGCAATCCTCTGTTCCCATGACTCAGGATCAACTCAGTACCGCCGCACTGTATTATGATGGTGCACCACATGCGTCCATCGCCACTGACGTGGAGCTACTTGCAGCACCGTCTCTTCCTTTTCACGTGATCGTCGAAGAATGCCCACTTACTGTCATCGGTGGCAGATGGCCGTTTGCCTAAGGTCCTCGTTCTGAGAACGCCTTTCGCGAACTACTCGTTAGAGGTTTCGCTAGGGAACAATTCGAAGAGGGCTGCCTGGTAGACATGGTTATGCTCCTGTCAACTGATTCCAAGGAACCTTCAACGAGGGAGGCGGGGCGACTCACCCAACGAATCGGCTTTCTTGTATTTCTCGGCATTCTGAATTATGGAAGGTACTTCGTTCGGCTACCTCCAGCCTCCTCGACCTGCCTCTCTAAATGAGAGCGGGATACGTTGGAAAGCAAATTTCTTTGTACCACAAAGCTGGACAATGGGCCGACTCATGAGGCTACTCCTGGTCCATTAAGTCTAGTCAAGGTTAGATTGGGAGTCGAAACGAGAACGGCAGCCTATGAGGATTCGTCTTCGTGCACCCAAAACGCGGCCAGGAGTCATCGTCGCGGACCTCGAGCATACAACTCTCGATACCTCAGAGCACCCAGAGCCCCAGGTTTTTGCGACGACAAGCAACGTAATATTGACTGTCTTTGCGGAATCGTCGTCGCATGGGTTTGGCCCGGGGGGCCCAGAAGCGACGGGATCCGGTTCCAGAGAACACATCGGAATCTCTTCCGATTGAGAGACGGAACAGTAAGGGCCGGAGCCTATTCCAGGAAGCCGGTAGTGAAAAGCAAAGGTCGTCGGCCAAATCCATGACTTCGTTGAGTGCATAAAGGCTTGATAATGTCATTAAAGTCGCTGATGCAAGCACATTCTATGCCACAGAGCGTCAGACATTCACTCAGAAGACTGACGAGGTGGAGGTGGAGGTGGGTGGCAAATTTGGCGTGGAAGCCACGTGACTGTCTGAAATTACTTCATGCCATTGCAGAAGTTCGAGCTTGAAGACAAGGATGAAGTCCAGCTCAGGCGTTCGAGCTCCATAACGCACTCTTCACGCTCGAAAACATGGACAACATCGAACGCAGGAGACTGAAAGTACCGCAACTACCGATTCCGACGTTGACCGATGCCGCTTCGGCCGCCGCCTGGCGACAAACGTTGGTTCAGACGTTCGTGCTCCTCGACTACCACAACACACTGTACCAGCAGACGGCGCCCACAGGATGGAAGTGGTCCAAGGCCGACTCGGAGGAAGTAACTTGGGAACAGCAGCAGTCTTGGGCTATCGATGTCTTCCTTTCGACGATCGCAAAGGAGCACTACAAGAACCTCGCGAGCCAGAAGGAAACCGTCGCTGCGGCATGGACCCGACTGAACGACAAGTTCAAGGCGTCGCAGGGCGAGATCGCTGTGTATTACCGACTGCCAACATTGGAGCCTGGATTTGACTCTGAACAGGCTGAAGCTCACCTCTCGCTCTTCGACCAGCGCTTCATCCTCCTCACTGCGTGCGGAATCAAGCTCACGGACGACATGAAGGTTGGCATGTTCGTCGGTAGTCTGCCGCCAGACTGGGACGCCGACTTCCTCAAGCAGAAGCGAACATGGCCGATGTACCGCAAGCGCTTCGAGTGGATGACTGCACCCCACCGGTTGGGAAAGAAGAAGAGCGATAAGCCAAGTGAAGCGCAGACGGACAAGCCGGCGGCAGTGGATTCGGATGCAAAGCCGGACCTCGGTGTCCCGGAGAAGCAGGAGAAGCCTTCCCAACTGCGACAGTCCTGGACTGAGAAGCGCCAGCAGCAGGAAGCTCAGCAGGAGCACGCTCGACCCATCCGACAGCCTCGCCCGCCGCCGCAGGCCGAGGCCGACGGCTCGAGCTCGAAGACGCTCCGGCCTCAGCCGTCGCACTCAAAGCTTCGCAAGCCGAGCCATGGCAACGGCGACAACGCGCACGGTGAAGGCTCTAGCTTATTGAACCGCCGCGTCTCCACCTCCCGCTCCCACCCTCGACCTCATCCTCCGCATAAGCCTAAGCCGACAACGACACAGCCGAAGTCCGCCGCCCAGGCCGATCCCGCTGGACCGAAGTTCAGCCAGTCGAACCCCTTCGACGTCCTCGGCGACATGGACGGTGCCAGTGAGGCTGGCTCAAGCACGGCCGCTGCCTCCTCGTCTGCCGCCGCCGGCCGACTCCGATCGAGTAACCGCCCCGGATCGTCTGCCAGCTCGCACGCCGAAGCAGGACCCAGCCGACACCACCGCAAGATGTCTCACTCGGAGGGCCGAGCGAGCCGCTCCAGCGACGTCGACCAGCTGGCCACGGGCATGCAGGACCTGAGCACCGAGTACTGCACCAACTGCCATGTGTCGGGGCACGACGTGTCGCGCTGCTACAAGCGAGCGTGGTGCTCGCACTGCCAGATCCCCGGCCACCACGTGAGCAAGTGCCGCCGGAAAGCGATGGGTGCGCCAAAGCGTCACAGGCGGAAGGGGGAGCAGCGCGAGGCAATCGTGGAGGAGGAGGAGCTCGAGGAGGATCCCGAGGTGCTCGTCGAGGCGGACCATCTATCTCTTATCAATCCCGCGACGCTCGCCGAGGCGTGCGACAGCGAAGAGGGGCCATTCTGGATCGAAGCGATGGAGCTCGAGAAGGCCCGTCTCCTGCGAAACGGAACGATAGAGGAGAGTGCGCTTCCCGAGGGCCAGCGCGCGGGCTTCACTGACTGGGCGTACTGCCGCCAGATCAAGCGCGACTACGCCAAGTATCGCTGCCGCGTGCACGGGCTGGAGGAGGAGCGCGGCGACGTGGCGGGCAGCATCCCCGCTCTCCGCGTCATCCTGTCCTACGGCGCGAGCCTGGGCATGCGGTTCCGGCACCTCAGTGTTGACATGAGTGTTCCCCTGGCGGAACCGGCGTACGTCAGCGCGCCGAACGGCGCGGGCGTGTGGAAGGTGAACAAGTTCCTGCGCGGTATGAAGGGGAGTAGCAAGGCTCTGGACCGGGCGCTGCGCGACTGCCTCCTCGCGTGCGACTTCAAGAAGTGCAAGGAGGACGGCGTCTTCGTCCTCCTCTCGCCGCAGGGCCGTCCGCGCGCCATCGTCTTCCAGCAAGGTGACGACGTGCTCGTCGCCTCGTGGACGGCGGGACTCAAGACCATCGTGCCCGTGATCAAGACGAAGATTAAAGACTCGGGCGGCTCAGTCGACGACCTAGGCGACCCCGCGCTCTTCCTGGGCATCGGCGTCGAGTGCTTCCCGCACAACTGCGATGTGCTCCTGCAGCAGAACCACTACGTCGACCACATCCTGGCGGGTGTGTCCGAGCTCTCCACAGTCGAGGACCGCACCTCGCCCCTTGCCCCGGGGACTTTGGAGGAGCTCGCGAGCGCGCCGCCCGAGACAGAGACCCCAGTGGACCGGAAGTGGTGGCGCAAGATTCTGAACCAGCTCGGGTGGCTTGCGCGGTGTACCCGGCCCGACATAGCTTTTGCCGTCGCGTACCTCTCGCGGTTCAGCAACAGCACGACGCTTGGCAATGCGCACCGCGCCGCCCTCCTCAACCTCCTCGCGTATCTGCGTGCGCGGCGCGAGTTTGAGTTCAAGCTCGGCAACGACGAGGACACGAGCGAGCCGCACTGCGCGCGCGCGTACAGCCACGGGTTCATGGCGCCGGCCCTCGACGTGAGCCATGTGGGGTGGGCTTTGCTTCTGGACGGAAGCACGGTGGACTGGGCGAGCCACAAGTCCTCGGTCGCGGCGACGGGGCTCGAGGCCGACCTGGTCGCACAGGGCGAGGCGGCGCACCGCCTCGTGTGGCTGCATGACCTGCTTACTGAGCTTGGCGTGGTTGTGTCCCCGCACGGACTGCTGTTTGGGGACAACTGCGGCGTCGTCAACAACCAGGCCACGCTCGTTGAGGTCTTCAAGCGCAACAAGCACGTGCTCGCCGAGTACCAGTTCATGCTCGACTTGGAGAGCAAGGATCGCCTCAGGCTGCACGGGTGCGACGACGACCAGCCGGCCAAAATGTGCTCCATGCCCGTCACCGGCGCCGAGTTCAACCGCTACAGGCTCATGTACGGGCTTGAGCGGCAGCTGGACATCAGCCAGGTCGAGATGATGAAGGGCAAGACGAACGAGGAGGCACTCCACCATCTGCTCTGGGAGGAGGACTCGGACGACGACGTCCGCAACGAGAACAATGAACGCTACCCTGACGGCGTCGACGCCGCCAACGCGCCGACCGTCACGTATACCACGACGCAGGGTCAGTAGATATATTAGAGTGGACACACGCCCGCGCGCATTTGTATTACTATCGCAATCTCTATGCATACAACAGTGGACACTCCGTCTATTACGCTCTGCACACAGCACCCTCTCACTCACGCCAGCTCACGCCGCCACGGCCGCCGGTCGAGTCTCCGGCTTGTTCGCGTACCAACACTTGTGGCACTCCAATCCCGCAGTCGACTCGTGCCAGCGCGGAGACACGTCGACGCCGCAGACCGCGCAAGTCTTGGCGGTCGTCATGACGACGTCCTTGTCCTCGCTGAGCTCAATCTTGACCTCGTCGACGGTAGGCTCGAACCGGTCGAGCCGCTTCGCCTTGCGGAGGAGGGGGAAGAGCTCATCAGAGGGGATCGCCTTGTACGTCTTGTTGTAGACGTTGAGTGCGCACTCGCCTTGCTCCGGGTCGAGCTCGAACATGTCCGTCGTCGCTGTCGTGGGCGGCGGCTCGTGCCCCTTGCACCACACGCCTGGGCTCATGATCCCCGCGTCGTCCTTGAACGTCGTTATCGTCGCGGTCACGTCGCGCTTGCCCGCTTTCACGGGCGAGAAGAAGAAGCCCAGCTTGTATCCTGCCATATAAGCGCAGGAGACGTGGTACACCGCCCCGCACCCCGAGGTGCAGGGGATTTTGGCGCCATCGGCCTGTCCGCACAACGTGCAGATTGCCTCCCAGCTCGCGTCGTGGATCGCGCTTATCCCCTCCACGTCCTTCAGCGTCGTGCCGTCGCTGAACTGCACCTCGGGCGTCCACGAGGCGCAAATAATGTGCGCCCACCGACACCCCTCGGTCGGCTTGAGCGCCGAGAGGACGTCAAAGTCGGCAGGCGGCTTCTTGTTCTTCGGCGCGAGCTTGAGCGCGACACTGGCCTGGTCGCGAGGGCACAGCATGCACTTGATGTCGAGGTTGTTCTCCTCGTTCGTCACGTTGGCGCACAGCTCGCACTCCCACTCGGCACCCAGGTCCTCGGGCTTGATGCCATAGCAGCCCGCGTGGGCCGAGAACGTGCACGTCTTGCACCGCGCCATGCTCGCCTTGGGCTCCATGCGGCGGCAGAGGGAGCACGGCGGCAGCTTCGGCGGTCCCTGGGGCACGGGGGTCGAGGTGCCGCTCGCCGAGTCGGCCTTGGCGCCGCGCCTGCTCTTGGGCTCTTTGCGATAGTCGCGCTTCGCGTCCTCGGCTTTAGGGGCAGAGAGCACGCCGTACTTTCTGTAGTTGGAGCCGCAGGTCTCGCACATCGCGTTGCCGGTCACGGAGCGCGGACACTTCCACCACACGTTGCTAATCCGCGTCCAACACACGGCGCACTGCAGCTTGTGGTCCCGTACATAGTTGGCGTTGTAGAGCGAGCTCGCGTCGTCGTCGGGCATCTCAGAGTCGGCGCGGCGAACGTGTCCCAGCGGAATTGGGCCGAGCGTCGACGACGTCCGCCCGTGGATCGAGTGCACCTTGCGGTGCTGCCGGAGGAGCTCGTTCTCCGCCTTGTACTTCTTGTTCTTCCACATGTACGTGTACCGCACGACCTCGGCTGGCCGCTTGCCGAGCACCTTGGATGCGGCCGAGGCCTGCAGGCCGTTCCACTTTGCGAACTCGGCCTCGAGCAGCCGCGTCTCCTCGTCAGACCACACCATGGGGTTGAAGTCGGCCAGCTTGAGAGACTTCAGGTACCGAATGGCGTCGTCGCGGCCATAGGCAGTGTATGCCTCCACGGCGGCGTTCAGCCGGCGCACGTCATAAGGGGGGACGGGCATCTTCATCCTGCGCACCTCCTCCATGTAATCGGCGAGGTCGTCGCTGGGCTCGCTCAGGACCATTAACGTCGGATCGTGGTTCTGCTCTCCGGGGTCGTAGCCGCGCTCCAGAATCAACCGCGACGAGCCAGTATCCAGCAGGGACGACTGGCGCTTCTCCTCTGCGCGCTGCTGCTCCTCCCACGTCATCACGTTTGCCTGGAACTTGGTTCCCACGCGCGTCACGGCACGGGGATAGATCAGATCCTCGGCGTCCAGCGTGTCCTCAGCACGAGTATGCAAACTGTCATGTCAGCTAAGCACGGCCACACGTGAGCTCACCCAAAGTACCTCCACGGCCAGCCACGGAACATGACGTCTGGCTTGTCAAAGATCTTCTCATTCGCAGCCGCCGCCGCAGCCTTCTCTTTCCTGGACTGCGCCTTTGTGCGCGGCGGTGCTGAGCCTCCGTTCGAGACGAACCGGTACTTCTCCGACTCGACATCCTTGCGGCGCTGGATCGTGCACGCAAGACATGCCCACGAGTAGCCCTTTGCAGGCTTGGCGAGCAGGGGCGGGTTGAGACAGCTCATGTGGTAGAACTGCTTGCACACCTCGCACCGGACCGTGTCCTGACTAGCGGCCCATTGTTCGCACACGCAACACGTGCGATACGCGTCCAGCAGGTCTGCAACCATCTCCTTCTCCGTGAGCAGGTACTCATACCGAGACAGCAGCACTTCCTTGACGTGGGGCGGGACTGTACGTCAGGTCAGCAACGCGCAAGGTACCTACTGTTGTTGACGGTGACGGTGCGCACGACCTCGTACTCGCGCTTCGAGTAGGGGTCGAAGAACTTGTGAAAGTAGAAGTGGTCCGGCGTATGCTTCCATGCAATCAGGTCCGAGATCTTGTCCTTGTGCCGCACATAGCAGCGGCCGCGGACGACCGAGATGGGCTCAATCACCGTGTGAATCGTGCCCAGGAGCAGGCGGTAGTCTGAGATGGCCCTGCCAGAAATCTGTCCTCGTCAGCTTTCCGCCGGTCTGTTGGTGCCGACACTGGGGCGCGCGCCAATCGCCAATGAAATGGCCACTGATGATTTGACGGGCAAAGGAGACGCAACTCACGTCGTTCGGACGGTAGTACAACGAGAGGCGGACGTGCAGCTCGTTCGAGTGGTGACGCGAGCCCTTCTTCTGCGCTATGCTCGGCGGGAGAAACTCGAGGATGCGCGCAACGCTGTACGGTGATCCTGGGGGTTAGATCTGAGTCATCCCAAACGGCGGTCGACTAACCATCACGGTCATTGAAGGGGGGAGAGACGTAAACATGGTCTGGGGTCAGCTGTGCAGAGCGCTGGTATAGCTTACCATTGATGTGAACTGTCTCTCCGTTTGTCGCCTTGGCCGAAGTGACGGTAAAGCCTTGCTGGGCCAGATCAGCGCGCGACGGCATGGTGGGTGTGTGACGACCCCGCCGGCGGTGGAGTGGATGACGGCTCTGCCCTGCTTCCTTGCACTAGCTCGTTGAGCTAGGAGAGTGGACAGCGAGATGCCGAGTGTGTGCGGTACCGGCAGTCCAAGGACAGCAGCTGCAGGCAGGTGCCGATGGTGGAGTCAGGCGGAGGTGGACGATGTTGTGAAAGTAAGAAGGCGGCGAGTGAATACAGCTTACACCATTCGCTACACCCCCCGTGATGTTCAATCTGGCCCAGTCGATGGCCGCAGTACCATCCTTTGCGCAGCTCATGCATGCTCATATGGGTTGGTATGTATCCGTACTGCCGGCTCTGCTATGCATGATCTTCATCTAGCCTAAGCATCAGTGTGCACGCCGGCGCCTTCAATGATGCCTTTGGAGGCGATTGTGCTGCATCCATCAGCATGGTTGGTGGCAAGGTCTGACATGCTCGGCGTCGAGGTCAGAGCCTAAAGGCGTGCCAGATTGGCGGGCGGTGAGGCCAGTTTACCTGGTCTCGGGCGCAGAGAGCTACTGCGCATGCAGCGTACACAGCCAGTGGTGCCGCGATGGCGGAGTAACCTGCGCGGCGTGCGGCGCTACAGCCGATCTCATCCCACAGCCCTCGGCCAGCGTGCACGGTCCGTTCGGCGCGGTGTCGTGGACGCTTGCATCGTGTTCTACCTCTCAGCAGTCAGCCGAATCGCTCCTTAGTCTTCTCAGCAAGGCTGAACCCCAGATGCACATGTGCAGAGGCTGCATCCGCAGGCGGCGCGATGGGGCGCAACAACACCTCAACTTGGCAACACATCGTGCTGCTGTGGCCGTCCTGGCGAGCGCTACAGCACATGCAGGGCGACTAGAGGGCCAAGAGGTCCTGCTCCTGCAGCTCGAGAGTTACTACAACCTCAAAGAATACCCCAAGGAACGGGCGGCCGCAGAGTAACTTGGCAGCGCTGATGCACTCATCTCTATCTCACCTCGGCACTCTCGGTACCGCTCGGTGTACCAGCATCCCCCATACGCGGTATGGACTTTGGTTCATTACTTGGGCCTGCGCAGAGCGTGTTTTGACGGAACCAAATCGTGCAATCTTGCAATCTTGCCCGAAGCGCGTCGACGCCTTTGCTCCCGCCGGCTCTGATCTCGATTCGGAGACGACGGGATCTCCACTTGGGTCACTGGAGGCCCCTGCGTAACGCCAGTGACGCCCGCGTCAGTTGCGCCTGAGAAGTGTGTCCCGCTCCGTGCTCGCTCCTGCTCGCTTTGTTCGGATCACTCGTAATGCATGATTAAAGTAAATGTACAGGGGGGATTGCTTGGATATTTCGGTTCTGGTTCTGAGATTCTGCTGACGACCTATGGAAAAAGGGTAAGAATGTCCGGGGGCTCGTTGTCGCTCTAGTTGCCGCCGGCGGAGAGCTTGGAGAAGAAGTGGAAGAAGTCGACGTTGGACGCCTGGATCGAGTACTGGTAGATGAAGTTGGACGAGAGCCACGCGCTCCAGGCGGCACGCTGGTAGTGCTCGGGGAGGCGGTTCATGAGCTCGTCGAGGCCGACCTTGGCCTGGAGCGACTTGGGGAAGGCGCGCTCGAAGACGGCGCGGCGCGCGGCCGCGTTGTCGTACAGGTCCGAGAACTCGAGCTCGTCCTGGAGCTTGTTCAGCGTCGTCGACAGCTGGTCCGAGATGAGGGTGCGCGGCGTCGCGCCCTTCTGGCGAGCATATTCCTTTGCAATGCAGTTGTACTCGTTGGCGGCGTTCTCGCAGATCTTCTGCTGGATGTCCTTGACGTAGTCCTGGTAGAACTGGGACGGCTTGCCGTCCTGGAAGATCATGTCCTTGACGTACTCGTCGTCCTTGAGCGAGAGACCAGCGAGAACCTCGAGCGAAGACGAGGTGACACCACCCTTGTTGGTCGACGAGTCCTTGTAGAGGACAATGCCCTTCTTCTCGAGCCAGAGACGAGCCTGCTGCGTGATGAACAGGTTGGCACCCTCAACAATGTACTTGAAGTTGGTCTTGCCGTCGGCGTCGACAAGACGGTGCATGTTGGTGACGTCGATGGCGCCAGGGCGACCACCGCAGGGAACCATGATGTCGGCCTTGACACGGAGGTGGAACTCGTTACGGAAGACGGTTCCGTCGGGGATGACCTCGCCGGTGGGGAGCTTGACGTCCTTCTGGTCAACGAGGACCTTGTATCCGCCCTTGCCGAGCTTGGACTCGTCAAAGTGGACAATCATCTTGCGCGCCTTGGCGAGGCGGATGAGCTCGGTGCGGTCGAGTCCGTTAGGGTCGTAAATCGTGCCGGATCCGTCGACAATACCGACGGTCTTGTCGCTCGACAGGAGGATCTCGTTGGAACCAAGGTCACCGTCGGGGCCACCAGTCTGGAACTTGGTGATCTCCTTCTCCTTGAGGCCGTGGGCCTTGTAGACACCGAGAATGTACTGGCGAACCGAGAGCGAGGTCATGCCGTACTTGTCGTGGGGGATACCACCAAGCTTCTCGGCCGACTTGCCGGTCGTGAACGACTTCCACCAGGGAGCACCACGGGCGCGGGCGTGCAGGGCAGCCCAGTCCATGAGATCGGCGGTGCCCTCGTCGGGACCGAAGAAGAGGATCTCGGGCTCCTCACGGCCAGAGACGTCGACGATGCGGCCCTTGATACCAGGCGACTGGCCGGGAATCAGGAGGTCGAGGATGGAGTCGACGTACTTCTCGAAGCAGCGCGAGTAGTCGGCGCCAAGCGAAGGAAGAACAGTTCCCTTGGATCCACCCTCGGGAATGTCCTTGTTCTTGAGCGTCTGGGTCGCGGAAAGGTTGTAGTTCTCGTCGAACAGGGTGCGGATGTTCGAGTTGAAGTTCTCCTTGTCACGCGAGCGGACGATACGGATACCACCACGGGCGACGTCGCGGAAGCGGACGTGGAAGCCGCGGAAGTCCGAGCCGACGATGAAGAACATGCCGAAGGGCTTCTTCGGGTACTCGACCTCGGGAAGGAAGCCAGGGTCGAGACGGAAAGAGAGCGCGACCTTGGTGGGCTGGTAGAAGTTGCACTTGAGGATGTGCTTGTTGAAGACGAGGAGAGCCTCGAGGATCTGGGCGGCGAGGGGGCTCTGGGCACCCTTCCAGATGGCAGAGTAGAGGTCCTCGTCGGAGAGGGGCTGCTCAGTCTTGATACGCTGGAACGAGAGCGTCGGGGTAAGCTGGGAAGCCTCGTCGGACGCCGGGTAGTGAACCATGGCGAAGTTGATGTAGAGCTGGCGGATGAGCTCGGGGTGGTTCAGGATGACGTCGCGGATGTTCTCGCGGGTGAAGGTCTCGTCACGGAGACGGGTCTTGATCTTGGCGAGGACATCGGCCTGGTCAGGGTCATTCTCGTTAAGGATGGCCTTGAGGGAGGCGTAGGCGGGACCGAGACGGTTAAGGAAGTGCTGGGCGAAGAGCCAGCCGGCGTACGCGTAGGTAGCCTCCTGGACGGCGTGGGGGGTGTTGTCCTCGGCGACAGTGAAGAAGGGGTTATCCGGGAGACAGTAGAGGAGCGAAGCCTCACGAACGATCTGCTGGATCGAGTGCTCGATGGGGGGAGCCTTCGAGTTGGGGACGGGGTTGAGGTACATCGAGATGATGGTGACGCCGTTGGCAAACTGCTCGACGTACTTGCGGGCCGAGTAGAGGCCGTAGAAGTGGTACAGGTCCGAGAGGGCCGAGAAGTAGCGGTGGGTGCCGCCCATCTTGTAGCCAATGACGACGCGGTGCTCGCGCGAGTCCTCGAGCTCGTACATCTCAATGACGGGGCCGTCACGGCGCTCAACCTCGGTCATGACCTTCTGATAGATCTCGAGGGTGTTGGGGGTGGCCTTCTCGAGGAAGCCCTTGTCGGAGACGGAGCGGATGTCGGTCGAGCCGTTCTCGAGCTTCTTGGCGGGGGTGCCGGGGAACTCGCAGGGCGAGACGAAGTAGCAACGGAGCTGCTGCGAGATGGTCGCCGAGACCGAGCCGGCAGAGCGGTAGGTCTCCAGGCGCCAGGCCTTCTCGGGGGTCGACTTGTCAATGAAGTCATCGTCAATGCGCTTCTCGCAGTTGGCGCCGGGACCGTCAGTGGCCGAGACACCCGCGGCCGACGAGTGGATGAAGACAGCGCCCTCCTTGGCGCCCTGCTTCGTGTCCTCCTCGGTCGTGATCTTCTCGAGGTCAATCACGAGCTTGCTGGGGTCGTGCTTGGTGTACGCGAGGAGCTTGGCCGAGTACAGGGCAAGGACGTGGTCGGCGATGATCTGAGGGTTCTCAGCGAGGCTGTAGCGTCAGTGACCTGTTCTCACACACAGAGCTTGCTGGCTCATAGCTGGGGCTCCAAGCACGAGCACAGGGCTAGCGGCAACGTTCACTCACAAGTAGCCGTTGTCAATGCCGAGCGAGTTGTAGAACCAGTCAACCTCGCCGTGGACGAGCTCGCGGGGCATGAAGCCGGACTGGACGAGGATGTCGGCGACAGCCTCCTGCTGCTGGCCCTTGGCAGGGAAGGGCGAGGGCACATAACCACTGATCGACGTTAGCGCTGTTTCCAACCATTGTCTGTGCACCGAGGCATGTCCGCGGGCGGTCGTGCGGCAATGGCAGAGCTAAAGCTGCGCACGGCACTGCGGCGCCGAACCGGTCTGCCTGAAAAAAGACTCACGCCTTGTCAGAGGTAACCGACTTGGGGGTGCCGCTGATGTTGAGGTGCTGAGGAATCGGCAGCGCCGAGCCCTGCAATGTCAGCTAGTCTCCAGGGGTGAGGACAGCAGACTTACCTGAGCGGCGGGGGTACTGGCGACGGGAGTGGCCATTGTGTACGGTGGGGGAGAGGGGAGGAGGGGATGGGAGGATGGGAAAGACAAGGGCAACGAGAGACTGTGGGGAATATCAGCTTATATGTTGGGCCACGGTGTCGTGCGGGTGGTGCGGGGTACGGGGAATGATGGCATATGGCACTGATGGGCGTGGGGAAGGCGGGGGGTGCACTCCCATCAGGTAGCAGCAGCACGGCCAGCGCGAGCGGGCCAGCCGGGCGGGGCTGGACTCGGCTGGGAGTTGAGGCTGGCTGGCTGGCGTTCGCTGCCTCGTTGCGAGCCGTAGAGGGGGATGGAGTCGAATGAGTGTGTGGAGGTGGGAGCTCGAGGGACAGTGAGGAACGGGCGTTGCGTTGATTGCGTGCGTCCGTATTGTGCGCAAACGCACTGGGGCAATGCTGGGACGTGTGCTCGTGTGCAGAGTGCGCACTGCGCACGCCCTCGCTGCTGCACTGAATGCTGCTGCTTTGGCTACATTGGACCGCGCAGAGCTACCCAGTCGAGCCTGCGAGCCCGGTGAGAGCTCGCTTGGTCACAGCTTCACAGGCAGTGCGCCCTGCTGCCGACGCCATGGGCGGACTGAGTAATTCTATCCCAGCGCCAAGTGACGCCCGGCGCCCCGCCTCGGCGCACGGCAAGACCGCCAGCACGTCAGACCAGCGCCCAGAACACCCAGGTGTATCCAGATTGTTTACCCAGATGACCCGATCTGTCTCTGACTGTCCCTCACACTCGAACGCCCGCAAGATCTACCTGGGAATGGGAAGGACAAGACACTCACCAGAAGTCTACCGCTGATTATACGACACTATCAGAGAATAGTGACAGAGATAAGAGGGGGAGGATGTTGTACACGCTCTAAATACTAGGTATCCGGAGCTTGGGGGAGTCTGGGAATGAGGTCAGCTGAGCGCTTGCATGAGTTGCATAGCTGGAGTGGGTGGGTGTGCTGGCAGGACGCAGGCTGCGCGCGTTTCGAGACTGCCGCTGCACCGGGTGCACTGGGTCGCATGTATGATGCAACGAGCTGGAGTCGCGGGCCACGGGCCGGGCACCGGTAGCGCACGAGGGCACAAGGGCACAGGGGGGAAGAGCTAGGTCACCGGCCAGGCTCGAGGCTCGCGCAGGCCCGCGAACCCCGCGAACTCGGATCTTCGGATCCAGCCGATCCCAGACGGATCCAGCGCGGCCAGCCCGGTCATCCCAGTCTAGCTTGATCCCAGCCGCCGCCTTTGCCGCTCTACTACGAGCCAACTCGTCGCCATCGAACACAGCGACGAGAACACTCGCATCGAGGAGAACAAGGGGAGGTGTGTCATGGAACAACGGCACGCCGCCTTCCGGACTGCCAGAAGCGACAGAATCGAAAGAAGGCAGGACGGCAGCCGTAATGCGGTCGAGCGGGGGGAAATAATGGGCCAGCCAGCCAGCCAGAGCGGCCAGGCACGGACTGATTTTACTCACCGATGTGGTTACAATCGGCAACGACGGAGCGTCAACGATCAGCTGTAGTGTTTGTTGTACGAGTGTACGTGGGGGGAGGGGATGGTGCAGACCAGTGCTTGGAAGACTGCGTCTTTATAAACCGCGCGACTTTTTCTGATGTCCCTCTCTCTGGGCTCGCCTCGGTGGTCGGTGTCTTGAGGCTCGACGTGTCGGCTGGGGGAACTGATCTGGCATGATCCGTCGGTGGTGGTTGTTGTTGGCTAAGCGCTGACGTAGCTGGCCCAAGGAAGGCAACCCCAAGGTGGGCCCTGAGTTGAGAGGGTGATCTATTTCGATTCTTGCATCCCAGCCTGGGCCAAGGCACTGGACCCGAGGAAGGTCTCGTTGCCAGCCGTTGCCGCCATTCGAAAACATTCCCCACCCCCACATGCATTCAGACCTATTCAGAACGAGCGACGCGAGTACCGCGAGCATTGCGAGCATTACTCCAGCAAAAGCCTCTCAACGCCGAGCGCGACATTGCTCGTGCAGATGGCCTGGGCCCAGGCGCCAGACAACCACTGGACACGCCAGCCCAGCCCAGACATCCCATCTGGGCTGGCTCCTCTGCTCTGCTGGCGTCCGAGGCGAGTTAGACGCGAGTGCTCTTTTGCTTTCGCTCTTGTCTGTGCAAGAGGCTGGCTGAATTGTTCACCCGGCACACCGGTGCTACGTATTCCGCGATCCGAGGAATTACGGCTGTCCCCCCCTGCTCTTTGGTTTCTTGTCACCATTACTGATTCGAGTTGCGCGTTCTGGCACGGCGGGATTCGAGTTGCAAAGTGACGGCGGCGTATTCTAGACTACTTGCGGGCGGTGCAACTCCATCTGCCTGCCCCTCTGCCCCTCGTGGTGGTCAGATCTCGCCCTACCTTCCCTCGAGGGCTCAAAGGAGACGCCGAAATGCGGGGTCACTGCAGACATGGCCCGGATGTACGTTCGGGGGCGTGGCCCGACCAACGCTTGCTGACAGCCACTCATGTTCAGTAGCTGGGGGCGAATACAGAAGAGTGCGGGGCGCAATCCCACATGTGCCGCCGAGAACCGCTGCGTCCCCTCTCTGAGCCACTCAGAGGACGGAACGGGCTGGACGGGGGCGCCGGGGGAGCTCCGTTGCCGCAGCTGCCGCAACGTGACCTGCGCAGCGCGACAGTGCTGTCTCTCCCCTGCAGAACCCGGCCCCGGCCCTGAACGACCTGGGCGGGCAGCGCGACAGGTGCAACATTATGGCCAAAGACGGGCAGAGCAAGGGGTCATGATGAGGGATGGAGGTCAAACGATCTCCCTGATGGGCAACCGTATGGGCAACGGGCTCCAGATGATTTCGAACCCTCATCTGACCTTTGGGTACGTTGGCGCGCTGCATTCGAAAAGCGCCAGGGTCTGCTGTGCTTGGGGTATGCATCGCAACAATGCAGCATTGCGGGGAAGTACGGCTCGCCAGCGCTCGCACGTCTGCGGGGTAAGTTTTTGCGTAACTGGCGCCAGAAAAAAGGACGCGCGGGAATCAGGGATCTGCCGTATCCCCACTCTCAGCATTTTGGTCGCCGGTGCCCAGCTTGCCCAAGCAGCAACAAGGAACGAGCCACGAGTTACACGCTCTGTTCTGGGTACATGCAGTGCAGCGCCTGAGGCTCGCAGACCTGCACGGTGAGACTGAAGCGCAGACAATGCGGCGATCTTGGCACCGTGAGGCGAACCGAGCCCCAACTAAAGTGGGCCCGGGTGCGGTGCCGCTGCCGTGTGCCGATATGTGCCGGCCGAGTGCCGATCCTCCTTTCTCTGTAAGGTTACAACCCCTCCCCAGGCTCTTCTCCAGCTAGCCCCGGCAGGCCCCCCATACCCCACGGTACACTGCGCCGTGTCAGCTCGTAACGGATGCCGCTTTGGGTGTCGCATTGCTTGGTCTGCCAAGCCCACGCCGTCCGGGAGCTCGGGAGACGGGCCGGGAGAGGGTTGTGTTCGACATCATCGTCTGACCAAACCCTCGTTGAGGGTATCTGGCCAGAAATTCAGATGCCCCCGCTCTCTCTCCATTATCTTATCTCCCACCCACCCTCAGCACCCACAGAGCACACACAGAGCAGAGAATGAGTAAACGAAGTCATAGCATATGCATATCACTATACTAGGAAGGGGGTCAACTACAATATCCGGAGACATACAAAATCAAAGACTGGGCTCAAGGCGCTCGCTCGTGTAACTTCTGAAACGAGAAACGAAAAGAGAATAGAGGTATAGGAGGGCTAGAGATGGAACTCGAGCTGGAGACGGAACGGCAGCAGCGGGGAGGAATGTTTTCGAACCCGGGTCGCCGCAATGAACAGCTAAGCGCTGACTGCCTAGACGCCGCCACGCGCTCATTACGACACATGTCGACACATACGACGCCCGGAAGGCGGCTGTGCCTTTCCCACCGGCGCCGATCTTCTGGTCTGCGTACCGGCCATGCTTACGCGCGTGGCCCACATGCTCAGTACCAGACCTCGGACTTCACAGCTGCTTACGCAGTCTGCGTCTGCGGCATGGGCGTCGCCTCCCACAGGCGGTCCTTGGCACGGATGTGGATGTCCGCGAAGGGCTTCTTTTGCTCGAGCTTGACGCAGTCGCGGGTGGCGAGGACGAGCAGCTCGAAGAAACCGGTCGACGCCGCGCGCTTCGAGGCGCCGCGGGAGAGCTCGTCGAAGCTAACAGACTTGTCCTCGGCTTCGATCGCCTCGATCTCGGCACGCAGAAGACCCATCGCCATGCCAGTACTCTTGCTGACACCGCCGGCGTCGCGCTGCGTTTCCTCGCTCCCGCTCGTCATCTGGCTCGCACTGACGCGCGGGTCGAAGATCATCAGCTTGCACTCGCCCTCCTCGCCGGCGAGGCGCGCGGAGCGCACAGACTGGGCGATGCTCTGCGCAATCGATGGAGCGAGAGAGGGAGCACGGACCTTGTCGCCCTCAATTGGCGGGGGCGAAGCAAGACCACCAAAGTCGAACGAGATATCATTGTCGAAGCCGCCACCGAAGTCGGGCTCAAAGCCGGCCTCGCTGGGCAGACGGCTCTGGCGACGCGCCTCCTCCATCGGGTCGTCCTCGAGCTCAGACAGCTCCGACGTGAGCGAGCGAGCGCGCTTGTTCGGGCGCTCGGGCTCAGGCTCGCGGTTCCGTCGCAGGACATTGACGGGGAAGGTGAACAGCTCAGCAAGCTCGGGAGCAAGCCCGTTCGGACCCGCGAAGATGACGGTCTCGTCGTCGACCTTCATCGTCGGAAGGAAGTGCGCGGCAGGGTCGTCGATGATGTCGCGCAACCGCACAGCTTCGGGATCGGCAGGGATGAAACGCTCCACACCCAGAATCTCGCTGTCCTCGTCCTTGGGCGGCGCGAACTCGTCGTCGGCCAGCTCCAGCTCCTCGTCCGCGCGCACGACACGCACCCGCTTCGGGCGGTGCTGCTGCGCCTCGGCAATGCGCTTGGCAGTACGGGGCGAGACATCAATCGTCAGGTTCGCAGCACGCGGCGACTCGGGTGGCGGCGTCGACAGCGTGCTCGCCTCGCGCACGTGCCGGGGCTCCTCCTCGGTAGCTCCAGCCTCGGGAGGCGCAGGCCCATCAGATGTAAGCTCGGGAAGATCGTCGAGACCGAGATCAAGGTCGACCGGGTTGAAGTCGTCCTCAACGCCAAAGTTGTCGGTGTCCATGGGAGCATGGTCATCGCGCATAACACTCGATCCGCGCACGGAAAGAGCGGTGCTCTTGCTACGAGCGCGCTGGGCGTCACGACCAATTTCCATCGACTCGTCCCACTCCTCGAGGTTCAGACCCAGGTCTACACCCGTGAAGTCCTGGGAGTCGAGGTGCGACGTGGATGACCCGAACGGCGAGCCTTGGCGAGACGATCCGTCACCGTAGATGGACAGCACAGCCGGGCGTCCGAAGTTGAACGCACCAAACTCGCGGGAGCGAAGGTTGGTCTGATTCGGCGGCGCCGTGTTCTTGCTCGGGGCGTAGTCGGCGGTAGGCACCTGGAACGACCAGTCGAGAATATCGATCATGTCAACGTTCGGAGCCAGCTCCGTGAACGTGATCGAGTTCTTGGACGCACGGATCTGGTCCTGCGGCAGGTCGACCATTCCTGGTCGGAACGCCATCGTGATCCGCTCACGCATCTCCTTGCAGTCATCCATGAGATACTGGACCTTGCGGCCGTAGATGCGCACAACACCAAGCATGAGCTGTCCGGAAACACGGAGAGTGAGAGGCTCGACGTCCTGCGTCAAAATAGCATCTGTTGACGTCAGTAATCGACCGCATCCACAGTCAGAGACTCACCACAACTCTCATCAATGTCGACAGCGAGCGCCTGGCGCTTGCCCAGCTTGCGCTCATGGTGAGCAGAAAGCCAGACCTTGGCCAGAGGGCCCCGCTTGGAGAGGAGAAGCTCGTTAAGGAGCATTGTCCACACGCGTCCAGTGGCGCAGAATTGTTGTTTACGGGCGGAGTTGTGTACGGGCGAAGCTTGAGCAGAGAATAGATACTCGACTAGATGGTATGCGTTGCACAACTACCTCGTAGGCAGTGTTCTGAGGTGGATTAGGGTGTGGATGGACAGCTGGTGGATATGATAGCGACTGAGAAAAGCAGGAAATGACTTCGAGCGGGTTACCTCAATCATCCTTCGTCCGGTATATGGGTGGCTGGTTACGCGCGTGACTTCAGGCCCTGAATCTCCAAGACCTCCGGGTGGCGCGCCTATTGCTTCCGCTGACTAGACTAACTAGTCCTGCCTTCTCCGATGCATGCCTGCACATTCCCACGCTCTCGCCTGCCTACCTACGCACCCTGGCCTCGCATAGCCGCCCCGTCTCACCATAACCGATTGAGCTTGCGCAAGTCTAGCTATGATGATGCCTTATGCATCGATGCACACCTGTCTACTACCGACTTTTATGGATTTACTTCTGCTTCTCAACCTCCTTGACCATCTCAGGGACGGCGTCGAAGAGGTCAGCAACGAGACCAACATCGGCAACCTGGAAGATGGGAGCGTCGGCGTCCTTGTTGATAGCGACAATCATCTTGGACTCCTTCATACCAGCAAGGTGCTGGATGGCACCCGAGATACCGATGGCAACGTAGAGCTCAGGGGCAACGACCTTACCGGTCTGGCCGACCTGGAGCGAGTTGTCGGCGTAGCCGGCGTCGACGGCAGCACGCGAGGCACCGATAGCTGGAAAACGAGTTAGCCGACTGTACACGGATAACCTTCCAAGCGGCTCGGAAACTTACCAGCACCAAGAGCGTCGGCGAGGGGCTCAAGAACGGAGTCGAACTGCTCCTTGCTCTTGAGGGCACGGCCACCGGAGACAACACGGGGAGCCGAGCCGAGGTCGGGGCGGGAGGAAACAACGATCTCCTCGTTGACAAACTCGGTGGGGGCTAACGGTCAGCAAAACTCTTGAACAGGTCGCGGTGAGTCGCAGCCAGCTTCCTGTGACTCTCTCGCGCAGACTATGGCGCTCAAGATGCCATCAAAACTTACTGGAAGCCTCAGTAGCGGGGACCTCCTCAACGGCGGCGGAGCCACCCTCGGCCTTAGCCTTGTCGAAGGCAGTGGTGCGGACGGTGACGACCTTGACGGTGTCCTTGGGGCCAGACTTGAGCTTGAGGATGGCGTTACCGGCGTAGATAGGGCGGGTGAAGGTGTCCTCGCCCTCGAGAGCGATGATGTCGGAGATCTAACGTGTGAGCACGGCGCACGGAACGGACTTCGGCTTTTCGATTCGGGAATCTTTCGGGTCGCCGCGAAAGAAGCCAGATAAGAAAAACATACCATGGAAACGTCAAGAGTGCCGGCGAGACGGGGGAAGATGTTCTTGCCGGCGGCGGTGTGGGCACCGAGGAGGTGGGTGGCACCCTTGGACTTGACGACCTCGGCGAGAAGAGGTGCGACATCTTAAGTCGAGTTAGCCTGTATTTCCTGGTCGCTTGTTGGCATAAACTCACTCTCGGCGATGGCGTGCGAGTAGGCATCCGAGGCGGCGGTGTAGACCTTGGAGAGACCGTCGATCCTGGTCGTCAGCGAGAGCTCGGCGAGCCGCGATAGACTTCGGCTCTCGGGGTTGGAGCCGGAGCCGAATTCCTACGCACTTCTTAACCTCCTCAAGAACACCGTCAATGTCAGCCTTGGAGCCGACAACGATACCAGAGACCTGTTCATCTGTCAGCCCTCTCTAACCTTGACTACCCCGCTCGTTCGTTCGCGTTGCCGAGCATTCTACTCACGTCTCCGCCGATAGACTTGGCCGCGGAAACAGCTGACAAGCTTCCGCTGTTAAGCTTGCCTCCCTTCTGCTCGAGGAAGACGAGCGTCGAGGCAAAGCGGCGCTGGGCGGCGGTCGAAAGACGAGCGGCGCGAAGGGCGGAGTGACGAGTGGCAGCGAGCATTTTGGTGGATTGGTGAGATGTCAAAACGACAGATCGGCGCAGATGTTCCAGGTAGAGTTCCACACAACGGGTCTGGTACTTCGGCTAAGAGGCGAGCGAGGGCAAAAGCACGGAACGGGCCTTATCCATAGACCGGTCCAGCTGCCCGCCTCCGTGTAATCCCCCTCGGTTAAAGAGCGTCCGACCCTCCCCAATCGAACCGTGATCCTCTCAATAACACGTCAATTTTCGGAGCTTAATCCTCGCATGACTCGCTTATCATCTCTAATCGCTTGATATCGTCATCGGGTCGCGGAATGCTCAGTGCAACTCTGCAGCCGTCAGCTTTGGACGTTGGAGTATTGGAGGCTGACGAGATGGATCGGGAACAGCTTCACAGCAGCCATGATTCGCACAGAGTGAGCTTACAGGAGTTTGGATCTAAAATGGTGTGTTCAACACTGGACTATCATTACCGCGTATTGTCGGCCGAAAAGCGGCGAAGTAAGCCTTCGATTCTCGGTAATCTCATGGACCGCGAACTTTGTGACTTGAAACGGAGTCTCGACATGCGGCAGCTCGCACCATACGGACTAACGACTGCCACAATCGTCTGCCACCGTCAGCTGCTGGATGTGAGACAGCGAGCGCGCTAGCGCGATAGCGTGGTTGCTCGACGTTCGCCAGCGGGCGAAAGTCATGCACCGCTCGTGGACCCTGGTGGCGCGGAGGGACGCTCGTATCGTTCTGACCAGCGGACGCGGACACTGCATGAGCGACTCCACCTCAGGCTTCACAGACAACGGGTGCCCTCTCTCTCTCTCTCAAGGCTCCACTTGTACTCCTCCTCCGGTCTCTGTGTTTGGCGTCTGTGGCGCTTCAGCTGCCTGGTAGTCTACCCGGAAAATAGCGCAGGTGCGCCTTCACGGGCATGTTCGTGCGGCGGTAGTGGTTCGCCAGCAGTCTTACTTCTATGTCGACTCTAAGGCCCGATCGAGACTTCATGTCCTGCGCCCCACCCCACGCATAGCTGCTCGGAAGCATGCAGCTTTGATGATCGTAGCAGACTCCACTACATGTGTAGCTGTGTCGCAGGCCTCCAAAATGCAATGGGCAGCGGCGCGTGTCATTCTTCACCTCGGAAATCCTCTGCGGGCCGAAATCCCACGCATTCCTTAAGACAGGGTTTAGTCACTTGCGGTGGACGATGCAGCGCATAGGAAGCGGCGCAACTGTGCTGTTGGATCTGTACTCCGATGGAGGGACACCCTGTGCAGATCATCCTGGGGCTTCGTCTGGCATTGTCACCTCTGGCATTTGCCTCCAGGCTATCGCACCCAGCCCCGGGAGATTTTGCTGGCGTTCTCGCTCTTTCGTCTTCCCTACGTTCTCGCTCCTCAGCTCACTGGCAAGTACACTCACCTCACTAGCCGGATTGCGCCAGCCGTCTCGAGTCAGATCAACATAGTCGTCTGCGAAGTGCGAGGGCTGTGGCAACGGATTAATATACACCACATCAGACCCGACGAGGCTGGGATCGGGCAACAGTGTGTGCGCGGAAGTGCAAAGTAGGCAGTGGGGCAACTACAGCAGACGAGAGGGTGGTAGGTTCCAGAAGGGAGGCACGGTGTTCTTTCTGCGCAAGCTGTGGCAGGTACTCATACGAAGACACCGGACGACACAGAGGCATGGTACCGAGTGACGCTGAGGCCTGCTCGCTCTCCTGTCCCCTGAGGTAGCGGTTGGAACGGGCAGAGAAGTAGAGGTAGTCGTGAGTGAAGAACATTGTGGACCAGCTCAGTGCCGCAAGGAGGACATAGGGCAGTTATCGTTCACGCTGCTGTCGAGCAAGCCCATGCCAGACTAAGTAACAGTGGTGCTTCTGGTGACACAGGGGCGACGGAGATATTGGCCCTTCGTGCTTATGCCGGAATATCTGCAGCTGACTGCAGAGTACATCACTCAGACATGCACACCAGTCTCCTATGAACCAGCTCTGTCCGGGTTGGACAGAGTGGTGGTCTAAGATGCGATCTGAGGTGTGAGCTTTAGGCCCCAGCCTCGGCGCCACCCGTCCCCGGAGTCAAGCAGACTGGCTTGGGTGACATTTACTCCCTGGAGCAAAGCGGTAGAGGCCTGCCCTTGCACCAGATTTCAGAGGTCAGTATCTTTCGCATCAGTCCGTCACGAGTCGCAATGAAGCGTTAGATGTTTACTCGTACATGGGATGCTTGCGCGTCCTGTGCTCAGTGGAGCAAAGGACGTTTCACGTTCCGAGCCTAGCGGGCGCTTGACGACCCACCTGACACCTGATTGATGTTGCTTCGGAGCCAAGATCAAGCAGACTGGTGCGTTTCGTTGGAATGTTCTCACACATCAAGAGGGAAGCAGTGAGCCATGTCTGATTAGCAGCACTCCGTCTCTTATGTACCAAGTCGGCGCTTAGGCTGCCCGCACACACGCGAGATGTGGAGGTGAGCCTGACAGTAGTATTCCAGTGTTCCGCCCATTCGACGCTCGGACATCTGCTGGTGCCCGTTGCAGTTCCGTCGAGGGCCGGTGCCGGCTTCGGATACAAGCTGAACGCACGCTATGCACAGCAGACGGCCTGCCCTAGATGCACCCATGCACGCCCAGGCGATAGTATACGCTGTGGCTTACACTTTTGCTTGTTCTTGTCGAATGGCAGCTCACAAGATGTCTCCAAAGACAGGGGTACTGGAAATGTGCAGGATATTGAGGCACGGCCATGGTGACACCTGACTCATGGGATCATGGGCCCGCCTATTAGCCCCGCATGGCATGTCGGCACGCCCGCCTCGCGCCTCCTTCGCTAGGCCGGCGGACCGGAACGCTCGTGACGCGCCAGTGCAATCGCTGTGATCTCATGCTGCACACCACACCACCAGTCTCTCTTATCTCTTGACCCCACACTCCACGCTCTTTCTCGCCCTCGTTCAAGAACCCCGGCCACAACTTGTCGACAACGGCCTCGAGACCCCCCTTCTTTCCGCCCCCCCCCACCCCCGCGCCAACATGGCCCTCTCGCGGCAGCACCGCCGCTTCCTCTTCCTCTTCCTCTTCGTTGTCGTCGTCTCCGTCCTCACCTTCTGGTCCCGGCTAGCCCTCGCCTGGCGCGACTTCGGATACCTGACCCGACCGCTGTGGGACCACCCCGAGCGCCCCTTCACAGTCGTCCCCCACTACCCGCGGTCGACGCTCTCGTCCTCCGAATGGTGCTCCCTCCACGGCTGGAAGCCGCGCACATCAACACCCAAGGTCTTTGACGCCGTGATCTTCTCCGTCGAGATCGACCTGCTCCAGCTTCGCTTGCGGGAACTCTACGACGTGGTTGACGGCTTTGTCATCCTCGAGAGCGACCGGACGTTCACGGGCTTGCCGAAGAATACGACCTTTGCGGACAACAAGCACCTCTTCGACTGGGCGTCGGACAAGATCCACTACGCTTTCCACGAGGGTCACGAGCTCAAGCCGGGCGAGCACCCTTTTGACCAGGAGGCGCAGATGCGCACGTCGATGAACGCAGCGCTCGAGAGGGCAGGCGTGCGGCAGGGCGACCTCGTGCTGATGAGCGACGTCGATGAGCTCCCCCGCGCGTCCACGCTGGAACTGCTCAAGACCTGCGACTATGGTGATGTGATCCACCTCCAGCTCGCAAACTACGTTTACTCGTTCGAGTTCCTGCTCGACCACGACAGCTGGCGCGCCTCTGTCCGTCGCCACCCCTCGACGGGGTACTCGCACGGCCGCGTGTCTGAGACCCTCCTCGGGGACGCGGGGTGGCACTGCAGTTTCTGCTTTAGACACATCGCCGACTTCCAGTTCAAGATGCAAGCGTACTCGCACGCGGACCGGAGCCGCGCCGAGCTCCTCGGCGAAGAGCGCATCCAGAAGGTCATCTGCGACGGGACGGATATCTTCGACATGCTCCCCGAGGCGTACTCTTGGAGCGAGCTTGCGCGCAAGATGGCGCCGATGCAGAGGACGAACTCGGCCATGGACGTGCCGCGCTTGCTGAAGGAGAAGCCGGAACAGTACCGCTACCTCCTGCCAGGTGGGTGTGAGCGCGAGAAGGCGTAAGAGCAAAGGTACGGGATTGAACCCGGCGCATGACGCGCGCATCACGAACGCATCTAGAATGTTACATAGGTTGTATAATGTAGAGTATGACTATGCCTCGGCCGTGGCAGCCAGCTCCTCCCATCTTGCGAGCGTCGACTCGAGCAGCGCCACCTCATCCGTCACCACAGTGAGCGCCATGGCCGTGAGGCCCGTCGCCTCCTCGCGCAGATCGTACAGTTCGCCAACGCCGAGCTGGGGCTTGCGCATGCCGACTAGCCGGCGCGCGAGGAGCTTGCCCATCGTCCTGGCCGCGCGCGCGTTGGCGGCACTCAGCGTGCCCTCCTGCTTCTCCCACACGTCCTCGAGCTGCCTCACGTCCTGGAGCAGAAGCTCAACATCCTTCGGCGCCTCCCCCGTCGCCTCATCGAGGGAGACGGACGGTGTCTTGGAGCGCGCCTTCTTCTTCCGCCGCTTGCGCACCTCGCGCAGCGCATCCAGCCATACTGGCCCCCAGAGTCGTAACGACGCTTGCCCGCCGGCGTTGATGTGGTGGATCGGTTTCGGCGACGAGGCGCAGAGCAGCGAGCCCTCTGAGGGCTCGAAACGCGAGGCGTACGCCAGCTCCACGTCCTCTTGCATTTTGTCCCAGGCCTCGGCGACGATGTCGGGACACAACTCGGCGAGAGTCCAGGTCACGCCCTCGACGAGCAGCTCGTCCTCGCGCGCCGAGCCCTCGCTACCGCTCTCCGCCACAGGGGATGCGTCGGGGAAGGCACCCGGCACGAAGCCCCATTCCACCAACAGCCTGCTGTCCGGGATGTTCTCGCCGTACGAGTTGAATACCTCCTGGCCCTTGCGAAGGGGCCACTCGACGTACATGTCCACCGTGTCCCGGCCCTTGCCTATTGTCTGTCGCGCGTTCGGGTCCAGGTGGGCTAGCCGCTCCACGATGCCGGTCTGCGGGTGCGGCACGTCGTGCACGCAGCGCGCGAGCGAGCCGCAGCGGTGGCACACAAAGTCATCAGACGCGAGCGAGGTGTGCGGCGCACTGCTGTGGTTCGCGACGTCTGCGAAGGGACATAGCGCGACCGTGTGGTACAGGTCGATGAGGAAGGCGCGGGTCGAGACGAGGGAGAATGTGTACGCGAACGCGGCGAAGGGCGATGGGTCGGGGTGCGCCTTGGTGGCCGGGAGACGAGATTTCGTAGCGTCATAGAACTCGCGGAGAGCAGGCTGATGTCAGCTTTGGCGTTCATCGACACAGCTGTTCACGCACCAGGCTGAGACCTTCCTTATCTCTTCGGCGCAGGTCGCGCTCGGCATCCGTACCCCTCAGCCAGGCGAGTGCCTCCTCGGCGTCGGCCTTCTCTGTACCCTCGATCAGAGGCCACAGAGTCGGGATCGGCACCGTTTCGCGGGAGAGACTCTGGAGGTAGCCAAAGAACTTGGACTCGCGGCCCAGGCGGAACTCGTGCAGGAGCGCCAAGGTCAGCCCAAGGATCGTGTAGCTCGTTCCTGGCCGTGTGTCGAGTGGCAGCTCGGGAAGTGACGAGTTACGAATAGAGAGGATCGAGGTCTTCGGGAGCTTGCATACTGGTGGTCAGCTAGCTCCTCCTACTCGCTAAGCTGCGGTCGTTCGAGAGAAGACCACTTACACACTGCGCCCAGCTCGAGCTGCTCCTTCGCGACGAGACCCCAGCCACCATGACGTTCCTCGATGCTCAGTGCTGGCGAGACTTCGATGTCGTTCTCAGCGCACCAGTCGAGGAGCACCTGGGCCGAAGGAGCCGGCTCGCCGGCCAGCAGGCCATGCGGGGGGAACATGAGTTGATGGGCAGTGGTCCGTGTCGGAGTGTCAGGAAATGTTGATGAGCGCTGATGGAGGTGGACGTCGGAGGTGGAGGTCTAATTAGGCACGCAAGAGTGCCACATGCGCGGGGAGTTGGGGGGTTAGGCGCGAACAGGCTAGGCACGGCTGTTGTGCGGTTGTTCATTCTTTGACTGGATCCGAGAGCCGCGTGGCTCCCAGGCTAGCGGTGACTCGATTGACTGAGGCTGCTCCCGCTCTCCCCGCCCAGCCAAGCTACCAGCGCCACCAGCGCCCCCCAGGCAGGCCCCGCCTGTGCTCGTTCGCCGTTGGCCACCGTATGCCATTGCACGACCGCTAGTCACTAGCTCGCTGCCCCATTCATCTATCTCACCTCCATCAACACACATCCATCCATCCTCCTTCACAAGTCACAAGTCGATTCATTCGACCCCACCACCCCACAGCGTATAAGAATCGCATCCTTTCGACTCCTCGCCTCTCCTCACGTCTGAACTCTTCCATCCCCTCGAAACCTTTGCGTTCACCCAGCAACCATGCCGTCGTCCACCACCAACTCTCCCGCCGCCCGTCGGGCTCGCCAGTCGGCCGACGCCGTCGAGGTCCCTAACACTGCTCCTCCTCCCTACCCCGGAGACAACACCTACGACCTGACGCCTCTCCCGCACACGGTCAACCGCCCTCGCCTGCCCGAGGACCGCCGCAACCCCCACCTCTCCCATGGTAAGTAACACTGTCCAGCACAAACAGTCGCCATGGTGGGCAAGAAAAAGTTGCCGCCGATGAGCTTGGCGGGCGTGCAGTAGCAGTGCGGCAGTTGAGTCATGTGGACTCACGCGTCGTTGTTCATTACATTGCCAGGAACGCAGCTGACAATCAGTTCCTGTCGACACCGCTATTGTCAAGTTCCAGACGATAGTCCGCGAGGGCAAGGAGATCATTATCGGCCGCATCAAGGTCAGCACTGTGAGTATACGCCACTATCAGCTACAGGCGATCAGCATATCAAGGCATTGTTGGTCTATTGTTGCTGTTGTTTGTCCAGCACGGGGCGCATTGCCACCCTGAAGCCAAGATTTCGAGCTGACCAGCAGCCTGGCGAGAACCAGCACGCGTTCATCCTCCGCCGCTACGACACCAACGCCATCTCGCTTAGCACCATGTTCCGCGTCGCTTTCCCCGGCGCTTCGCCCGCCGAGGAGGAGCGCGAGATCGACTGGGTAGGATTAGCTGACCTCAGCTCACCAACTGCAGAACGTAGCTAACATCAGGTCAACTCCACTTTCGACACCTCTGGCACCAACGGCAACTCGGGTGGCCGCAACTTTGTCAAGCTCGCTGGCGAGTGGGTCGACCGCCGCACTGCCATCCACCTCGCCCCCGCCTACGGCCTGAAGGACCTCGTTGCTACCCTTGCCCGCGCCGAGCCTGACCCGTCCGTCAAGTACCGCATGTCTCAGCGCTCTCAGGCTGCCGCCGAGGATCTGCAGCGCAAGAAGGAGGCTCAGGCCACCGGCACCGGCGGCAGCTCGCGCGCTGTTCCCTCGATGTCGGCTACCGACGCTGCTCAGCCCTCGCCGAAGCGCGCCCGTCAGGCTCCCCGCGCCGAGGGCACGCCCCGCCGCCTCACCCTCGAGGCCACGACGACGGTCACTGCGCCCCCGAACGCCACCATCGACATGAACGCCGAGATCGAGTCTGCCAAGCAGCTTGTTCGTGACCTTAAGAGGGAGCTTCAGCTGCGCCAGGCCGCGGGAGAGGACATCGAGGAGGCCGGCAACTCGGAGCGCGGTATCAAGCGTCTCCCGGACGACGACGGTGTCACCATCTCCTCGGGCCAGGGCAAGGGCGGCGAGCGTGTCATCCGCACGAACAGGCGTGTCCAGCAGGGCGGCGTCGCCCAGGCCGTCAAGACGGCCGCGTACGGCACCATGCTCTTCGGCCTTGGTGTCTCGGCAGCTCTGTAAGTAACGATAAGCGTAGTTGCGCTTCACACCGTGTTGTTCTACGCAGTTTGCTAACACATCACAGCTTCCTCCCCCAGCTCGCTTCGAACTTCATGTAAACGTAGCCAGTAGGGTGAGTACTTGTGCGTACTTGTAGCTAGCAGTAGCGCCCATAGCTCTGTTTATAATCCGTAGATCCGTAGGATCCATAGGTAGGCACAAGCTCTTTGTACTCCGTAGTCGTATAGTTTCTTCTCTCTCAGTGTTATACCCCGCCTCTCTTCATCTTCTCTCCACAAACACAACCCCATGTCTCCATCATTGTCTCTCAGTTCGTCGTTGGCTTGTTTTCCGTGCCCGTGCTCCCCCACACCACACAAACACAACCACGAGATACAACGAATCAAGGAAGACAATGGTAAGTCCTGGCTCCTCCCAGTTCTGGTCCGTATACCATTCGTAGTAGCCCCGTAGCTTGGTAGTCTCCATAGCTCCTGTAGAGTATGAACGTTTGCTGACCCGCTGCTTCTGGTGTAGTCGCTGCAATTCGGCAAAATGTGAAACGCAACAGCGCAGCACGAGTGTGACTGGCCTGGAGTTGAGCACACGAAACGCACATTGGCGTCAGGATCCAGACGTGACTGGGAACTGACTGCGCTGCAAAAATACCTAAGCTTGGGAAGGAATAAGGATACCGCGCATAGGCTGTGTCACGTAAGCTGCGAAAGTCTAGTTCCAGCTGGCCTAGTCCTGGCCAGCCTAGTTATAGTCAGCCTTATCGGAGTCAGCCAGTACGGCCACTGCGCTATGAGGATGTTATCGAGTCAAGGTATCAAGGTGGCCGAAGTCGAGGTGACCGGCGGCCACGCGTTCCAGATGACAAGAGAACCTCCACGCATATCATTGCCATCTGGCTAATCCGTCCCGCGTCCCATCGTAAGCAAAGTCGACGTAGTTGCTAGGTGGGAACCGAGCAGCCCTGCTCAGGCCTGCTCAGCCCTGCTCAGGCCTGCTCAGGCCTGTGGCCGCCGGCGTAGCATAACCCTGGAACACCCTATCCGGACCAGAGTCCTGGATTCTTCTCCGGATGCGTCCTGACATCGGCCACCGGAAGATACGCTTGGGACCGAAGTAGCGAGGAACGATCCGGTGACTCGTGGCCTGCGTATTGTGCTTGCTGAGCTTGGCGCGTTGGCGCCGAGCAGGCGGACGCTCGCCCGACGGTTCGACGGTGCGACAAGACGGCGTCGGGGGTGGAGGGGGGAGTGTGGCTGTACCTTCTCGTGTCAGAGGGATGAAGGAGAGTGTGCCTCCCCCGGTCTCAGACCTGCAACAGCTTCGTTCGATATCCACTGCCAATGCCGGAAGAGCTATGGAGTCGCGGCCGGGCATACCGTGCATTGTAGTAGCCAGAAACGCGATCGATAGCTAGCCTTTAGCCATCAGCCGTTAGGTGGATGGCCTTCAACAGCCGTCGGGACGCGGTTTGTTCAGGCGGTGCAGAACAAGTCTGCTAGCCTGGTAGATGCCAGATCTGCGAGCTATTCGGAGCCACTACTGGTCTGTTTTATTCTCGCGTCGCAACGCGAGCTACGCGTCCACGTCCACGTCCACGTCCACGTCCCCGTCTCGGTGGGTCGGCTTGACTCAGCATGTCTATCGGCATTGCCTCCGCCACGCCACTGCGCCACAGCCTAAACTCCCTGCCTCACAGCTTGCCTGCTCAGGCAAGAACGGACAGTGGCGTTGGCGTTGTTTGCGTGTTTACGTGTTTACATCTGGTCGGCTCATCGATTAGTCAACGGTTGTTTGCGTCTTGGTTTTTCTGCAATTCTGCAATTCTCCTAACGATCCTAACGCCTTTCGGGCTTGCGGTACTGGGGGCTTGCGAAAAGTCGCTTGTCCTGTCTAGTCGACTCCTGGACACGCGAGTTATGCCTGAAAAGAAAAGTGTCTGCCTGAGAGTTCGTGTGCGTGTGTACTAGGGATGAGGGATGATCCAGTAATCTGGTCCCAGCGGAGTTGAGCCCGTATCGCCGTCCTGCACACAGCGGCGCCGATACAGGGTCCGGCACGCAGTGTTCGCTTCCCTTCGGTGTGTGTCTGTGTGTCCCCAACCTGCTGGAAGCGCCGGAGGGCTCCCTCCGCGTACCCTCCAGTTACCCTCCGGAAGGACCGGGGAGACCGGAAAGGACCCTCTTTTCGGCGTCCGCCGGCCCCCCTCTCCCCCCCAGCAGCCTTTCCCCTAGTCCGTCGGCACTCGGTGTCTTCCCCTCACCCTCAGATCACCCTCAGAACGCGATGTACCACCCCGAAAACATTCACCACGCGACATAGTTCATCGCGCACGCGAGAGCGTACCCAACTAGGTAACAACTTGTAGGGGAAGGGCAAGCTGTGCAAAAGTCTCGCACGCCTCGCATTTCTCACGAGCGCACGAGCTTTGGCAAAGGTTAGTGGCGAAGCCTCCCTCGCAGCCAGGGCGAGTTTGGCCTCGTTTCTGTGAATTGCGCCAGGCTGATGCAAAAGTTGGGAGCAAGCTCTGCAGAATGCATAACAGGCGTAATAGCCTCCGGTGCTAAGCTTCAGCCCCGTGGCTGCTGTCCACTGTCCGCACTGGCTACTGGAAGCAAAGTAGCGAAGAGTGCCTCCTTGCGACGCGTGACCTCTGCCGAAAGTTGCTGCCCGCCTGACGACCGGCATGCCACTGCCTGCATCATCACAGTACTCTAATCGTCATGAGAAATACGCGGCGAGATCTCATCTGATCTCCTTTGATCTCCTTGATCTCGCGACCCAGTCAGCTGTCAATCTGCCGTTGGAGCATGGGGTTCAGCCGGGGTTGATCGATGATATCTCTTTGCCTTAGTGTGAGAATAACCAGGAACGTAGGAACCGGAGGAACCTGCGTTGAGCGAGACAATGAAATGACGAAGGAACCTGCTTAGGAACCAGTGTTGATCAGCTGGCTGCACGCGCTGTACCATTGGCCCAGAAGGGGGGGGGAGATAAGACGGCACCGACGGCTGCATTCACAACACGAGGGCCATGCGGGCGCATGCGGGCTATGATGGCACCAATTCACGCGTCAGCGCTAAGGAGTGGTGGTGATGTTTGGGTTCAAGCCACTTGCATGCACTGGATGCACAACGCGCACAGCGATGTCTGAGCCTGGCAACGGGTGAAACGTGCTCTGAGTTCTGAGTCTGACCGCTTGGCAGCATCGGTCATGCCCGTCGTCGCGAGGCACCCCAGCGTCCCGGTGTAAGTGACCCCACTGCATGTAACGGTGCAGTGTACAGTGTGGGGCGCGGGGCGGGGGGTGGGCGCGGGGTAGTGGAGTAATGAGGTGATGCATTGGGGACAACGGGCCCGTGTTTGGGGTACCACTCCGCTGGTACCTAGCACGTATTACATGGTTGTTGCACGAAAAAAAGTCGAACGATGCTTTCGCG